TATAGTTTGGTGGCCATCTTGGATCTCACGATGAAATGAAATGAAATGTGGTTTAATGTCCTAATATTTTGCTCTGACAGGGCTAATGAAGACATGATTTCACAATGATGTCATGAGACTGTTGATTGGTTTTACTGGATTGCTGGACCCCTCAAATATAAGTATAGACAACAAAATTGCCCCTCTAACATGAATAGCAAGGGCAGTTAAGTTATATAGAATGGTGACCATCTTGGATTTCACACTTACTTCCCATGATTCAGAGTGCTCAGCCAATTTATTTTTTTTAATTCTACAGGGGGCCCAACATAATTCAAGAGTCATATTGAGGGGACTTGTAAATGCACACAGGACCTCCCGTCTGCTAATAGACTATATTAAGCTTTCACTCTAGAAAAAAACAAATTATGCAGATCTGTTGAATGAAAGGTTATTATTTTCTACCGCAGGACCTGTGGTATTTTTAATGCATGAAATTACATGAAACTAGAACAGAAATTATGTTGGACATCAGAGAAAGAGATAAATCAAAGTTAATTGCAGGATACAGGAATGAAATATGACAAAAGGATCAAGGAAAATAAATGCAATATTGTTGGACATCTGATTTTCATTGAACTATTTGAGTTCTGATCAAACAGTATTTTGGTATCCTGGAGCTAAACTGCTGCTATTATCTAGGAAATTTGATTCAACCATTTGTATAAATAAATTTTATCATTATAGGAGAGTGCTAGAGATCATATCTGGGAATTAGATTGAATAAGAGACTTTAGACTGCCCATTTCCTCATTATATTCCCTTCAGATATAGCAACTTTTAAAGATGCATGTAAGAGCTAAATTAGCCTATTACAGGTTTTTATTTTGACTTCAAATTTTATATGAATTATTATTCAAACATTTATTCACATGACAAGCCTATAATCAACTCTCTAGACAACTGGATGGTGCAGTTGTAAATGGATTAAAATATGATCGCCATTTAATGATATAATTTAAAATTGGAGAAGCGAGGCTGAGTTTCAATTAACATGTACCGTAAAGTTGCTATGACAAACAATCTATGTCAAAACTTCAAACAATGATATTAATAAATTTCCAATATATTAACTTTGAATTATCTATTTTGGAACTATTATAGCAAGAACGGCCAGCTCTTTCTCTAAATCTTACATAACGCATCTTCAAAAGTGGTTTAATATATCAATAAAATGAGAGAGTCTCTAGCATACCCTTTTCCATCCTCCCTTAGTAGTGTACTATTGATACTTTGTTATGCTCAATGTAATACTCACCAGATTGGTCAATTCTGTAGTTTCTACCAATCAATGGTTTTATAGATATTATTATACCAAACCAAATGATGAAACTAGAATGGATTGTCAAGTGAATATAGGTGTGAAAATTTAGATGGTGTCAATTTTAGTTGACATTGATATCTGGGGAGCTTCTTAAAGTGGCGGGGGTCTGAGGGCATGATCTCAATGACCTATAAGGTAACCCACCACTGTATATAACTGAACTATCATCAACAATTCAGACTGCAAAATTTAACAACTCAGTAAATCCATTCTGTAAGGAAGTACGACAAGCTGGTACATTTAAAGTGGTTTAATTAATTTGTGCTACATTTGCATTCAGATGTCATAGTAATAAAATACTGAGGTCTGAATGGCATATTCGATATCCCAGTTACTACATCTGACATATGCCATTATACCTGATGAGTAAAGATATAAAAATTGATCATTTCCTTGACATAAAGAGTACATTTCAAACTTGTAATGAGTCTGCTCGTACTTACTAGCTATTTTATGAATGAAACCCAAGTCTGTCTTTACTACAATTATGGCTGTCGGCTTTAATCAGAGTGACAGTGATGGCCATTCTGTCTCTGATTTCTTTTATATTTCTCCTGAGGTCCAGTTGTCCAGTAATGGTCTGGACTTTGAATTCTGATGAGACATAAGACTTTCGTCTTTGTGACAAGACTTCAATTTGTAATTTAACGTCCACTCAGCATATCATAGGACTAAATTTGTATGGTATAAATCTTCCATTAATTTGCGTTTATCTTGGGATCCAAAGCAGTGAGGCAAATTTGAAGAACCTGTAGAAAACCTACTAGGTCAGACAGGCTATCCCATGTCACATATAATTGTGGGATTGAACTCTCGTGGCTTGCAAAGATAACAGACCAGTGTTCCACTTGGAGGAATAACGCCTAAAAGCATTTACCTGCTACCTATCCTCAACCTGACTACTTGGAGAATTTATACAATTTGGTATATTAATTGGTCCATATGTACATAATTAGTTGGTCTGAAATGGGGTTTAACATCATATTTTTCTGCTAATGAAGACAGCCACAACCATAGAAGTTTCTATCTGTTAATTTTAATTAAGAATGCTGCATATATTTTGTTTTACTGTGCAAATATTGTCTTTCCTTTTGTGAAATAAAACTAAAATTGTTATTTGCAGAAATGTTTCCAACTGTGGGCTTTGAGAATGCAGTATATTTGTTTAACTTGTTTATGTTGTATTATAAAATCTATTCCAAGATGATATAAATTATGGATTTCAGGCTCCAGATAGATTTTCTACTCTTTTATATCTGGTTGAGATTCGTTTTTCCACTTAACCATGCATTGATTTTTAACCAAAATATCTTTTCTTTGTTGTTGGTTTTTTTTGTGCCACCATTGATGTTGAGTTGAGTTTTTCTGTAGTCTATTTAACTGTTTTTAGGATAGGTACTCTATCAATAAGTAGAGTAAATAAATGAAATGTTTAATTTTATTTTATTGCAGTTTTTGTAGCATCAAATAAATCACACTTTTGATCACCTACCATCACTATTGTCACTATATACTGCGGTAGCACCCATTGCCACACTTGATTGCACTGGCCAACTTATCCAAACTGTTAATACAACCTCTGGTGTTTTTACATAACCATCAACTATACATTGATTTAGCATTTTTTGGAATGTATGTGGTGTTTGTTTCATTTAATGTAGCATCATCTGAGAACCTGTGAGTATATGGGCCTGGTTTCTTGAGAAAGTCTTTTTTTTTTGTGTTTATTCAAAGTATGAGTGGAATCTTAGGAGAAGGTATCAATAAGAAACATCACTTTACCAATGTTCATGTAGCAATGGTTAATGAACTGATGATACTTGTAACATTGTTTCAGGATTATGCTGTTGATGAAGTGTGAATAGAACCACCCATATTTTCAACTTTCTGCCTCTCATCTGTGTTCTTTTTGTGGTTGTTAGGAAAATGTAGGTATCAAAATATCAATTTTTAAAAAGAAAAATTAAGTTACTAAGCTTGAACAAAAAGAATACAAAGATTTATTGCCCATTCATGGAAACCAAAGGGATGATTCAAATTTTAATTCAAGTTGTTCATTCATGTTTGTAACTCCCATGATCCACAATTTAATTTCCCTAGATTTTTTTATATTCTTTTTAATAACTTTATTAGGATACCAAAGCTCATCTGGTTGTGTTGGAAGCTTTCAGTTTCTACCTAATTTCTAATAACTGGTACATGCATGTAGTATATAGCACATCCCACAATTAACAGTATCCACAGCTTTCTGTTAGTTTATAGTTCTTTTATTATACGTCCACATTTTCATGTGGATGTATATTGTCATTGCCCCTGTCCGTCATTCTCATTTTGTTTGAGGACACTATACAGGTCACAATACTTAAAATGTATGTTTGTAACCTGAAGATATCAGTTCCTTTGGATATTGACGTATGTGTTTAAAATATGTGTTTATAACCCCAAGATCTCAGTTCCTGTTGATATTGACACATGTCGAACTGTAACATCCTGCATTAAGGCCCCTAATTGTCTGAAAATCACTTTTTCAGGTTGTTCGATGTCCATTTCTTGCAATTGCATGGCAATGGCTTGTTGGATATCTTATAATTTTTTGACAGCTGATATTATAATCCCAATATGAGTTACATGAACAAGACTTTAAGTTATCTGATATTATAATCCCAATATGAGTTACATAAACCTTTAAACAAGATCTAGTAATAATTTCAGCAATCAATATTTTGATTTGAAACAAACTATAGGCTATTTTAACAGACTTTTAACAAATCTGGGAAATCTTGGACTGTTTCTTTTATATGGGTAGACACACTGTTGATTTGCACTAAAATTGTAATAGTCGACTTCTTTGGATTTCATGTGCCGTTGTGGGATGACAAACTATCTTCGTTGAATATTGTAAATCCTTAGATAGTTGTTGATATGACCGATATTTTGTGTGTTCAAAAAATTAAACTAAAATTAGTAGTAATTAAGCATATATCAGTTTAAATGTTCTGAAACAAGAATTTAATTGTTTGTAGCATGTTCCATCACTTAACAAAATAACAGATCAACTCAATTCAGTGGTTCAGTGGACTCAATGACTGACTAAATCTAAAAATTATGTAATTCATATGTAAAGAAATATGGTACCTAAAACAGTTTTCAGACACTTATAAATCAAATCTTTTGTACTTTTAGTCATCGATCTGACCTGCAAAAATTGTGATTTATCCTTTGTAAGCTTATAGAATTTAGTAGAAAATAATGTTCAGAATTAATTTTCCTGTCTCACTTTCATTTTCAATAATATGATTTTGCTGTGAAAGATGGTCTATAATTTATTTCTCTCAATTCCATAATGCTTAAGTTCCTCTTTCAAATCTCTTGTGTTTCAAGCAATTACCATAAAAGCTAAAAGCTATTCTGATTCAAGACTTCTGAGGAAAGTCTTTGGCTACTTTTACGGACATTTGTCACACCATGGTATATGATTCTCTACTCGCCTAGGAGAGTATTCTGTAATGTTCTATAAATGGAGAACAGGATGAATTTACTTGTCAGATGAATACTTTTACACTTGACTACCACATGTAGACAGTCAATTGCCCTGTGCGAGTGAAGTGAATTGAGCCAAGCCACAGTGTTGTTGATATGTCTATTTGTTTTCTATTAAATACTGTTATCTCACACATAGGACATCTCCAGGATATTATCATAGAATGCGGAAATCTTTCACATAAACAAAGATAAAGGATCAACTAAAAAAAATTGTATTATTTTTAGTGGGGTAAGAATTAACTTTTAAATTGAATTCAATAATTTAGTCAATCTATTATACATGTATTTGTGTTTTCACTACATTTAAATAATCCAAATCCTAAAAAATTATTTAAATTTGATTGATGATGGACAAAAAAGTGTGGTAGTTATTAATAGAATATTGATTTTTTTTTAGATTTTTTTTTAGGGGGGGGGGGTAATAAAAGCCTTGAGAAACTCAAATAATTAAAAACATAGGATGACTTTCTCGATTCGTAATCTGCATGTCAGGCTCCAATAAAGACAGCCTTTTAACTGCATTTAACTGCATTTTTTAAGATCATATAGTTGGCTGTGGTTATGTGATTTAAAGCCCAAAGGCATTTACACGATATGGAAGAAAGCACATAAAGAACATTCAATGATATTTATATATCTACAAAGGTGAAACGTATATAATTTGCATGTCTTAATACCTTATAAAGTTAAGGTCAATTATATGATATGGAAAAAAGTGCATAAAGTATAAGATAATTGGTGTAATCAAACAGTCTTCTTGCTTTAATTGACAATTAATCTTATCAATACAGAACAGCCTTTCTCTGTCAATTAATCCTATGGTTTAAACCAATAATTTTTGTGCAAAACAAAGGCAGGTGTTGATGTACATTCTCTTAAATCCTGGGTTAAACCATATTGATCTGTGTTATCAGTTTCAACCAGCTTTCAACATCGTAATTACCGGAATTGGTAATTGATTCCTCCATTATAATCTTCAAGCAGTATGCCTTATGTGTACTATAGATGAAATATGTTATTAGTGCTTGTAGGACAATGGACCTGGTATTGTTCAAAAAGTTCCCTCTTGACCTAGGTAAAGAAAAGTGACATTCTGCCAGCAGGGGATCAGCCATTGATCCGCCAATCATAGACAGGACATGGGGCATGTAGAATTTGACAGCACCAGAGGGTCTGTATTTCGAATTCCTCGCAAATTGTTTGCATTATAGTCAACTGGAAAATATTTGTTGCCCAAAAACATGATAATTTATGACATATTTTAATACAAAATTTGATAAAATGTCACATAGGACAGTAAGATGATGAGCATGTTAGTAATGAATATGGCAACTATATGCAGTGTGCTACTACACAACTCTCTAATAAACAATTAAATGACCAGAGAGAGGTTGACCATGTATATTAGCTTAATTATCTAATTTATTATGAGCAGTTTTAAACTATAATTGTATTTCTAGGTGGTTGGAACTATTCCTACCTTTAGATCAAGTAAGTTTATTGGATAGAATATATAGTTGACCTAGGAAATATATCTTTAATGTAAATAATTGATTTTGCCATGTAAAGCCTATTTTTAACAGTCCATTGTTCTTGAATTTACCTTTCAACAATACCAGCTGATTTCTTAGAAAATAAATATTAGCTTTAAGGTATTACACAAATTTTAATTGATCTAGTGAAAGTTCTGTCTTGTCTTCTATCTAATAGGGGCATGTGGGATTTATGGTAATTCACTGTTGAAAGAACAAACATATGTAACAAGTAACTTTTTACTGAGAAAATTGAAATTCATTTTTTAAATTCACATTCACCACCCTAGTTTTTACATGATTCAATGCCAAGTGTTTGTTTTATTTTTCAAAATGTTTTTATTGCTTGAGGTGATTGATAATGTAGATAAATTCCACTGCAATATGTTTATTTGTTCAATTGTTTTACTGTGATGGAATGGAAAGAAATGTTATGATCTTTGGTAGAAACTTGATGATAAAAGTAAAGGAACAGGGACAGTGTGAATCTTAGCTGTAATCATAGGTAAAAAGGAGAAAAATGTGTCCTTGTGTTCAAGAAATGATGTATTTAACAAGATTTACTGAATCTTAAGTCTTGGTCTACAGTTGACAGGCCGGAAAACAGTTTGTGAAAACTTCTTGCCAGTCAATATCATTATCGGCATCTCTATTCGGAACATGATATACTGACCATTACTAGGACCATGTATAATTTCTGTTATCATCTTCAGTTTGGTAACACATGAATTGTGTCAAAGATCTATATTTTTCTCCCATTGTGCACAACTTTGGGTTATTTGTGTGTCTGGTAAGTGCTGTTTTTAAACCTTCAGTGATGTTCAAAGTTAATTCACAATTTTAGCTCATTGTTATTTTCAACACCTGTACGTAGTCTGATCTGATTGAGCCATAAAATTAATGATGCAATTGTGCGACATTTATTTGACTTATGTGAAAAAGGTCAGTATTATATCATGTAACAGACAAACTTTATATGAAAAAAAAGTCTATTCCTTTTTCAACTCTCACAATATTATAGTTTGCACTGGATTTAAAAACCCTTAAGTCTCTAGTATTCCACTATTTAGTGTACGGCCATCTTTTAGTAACTGTGGATGTAAATTCAAGCATTTTTTGGACTGATAGTCCTTATAGAGATTTAACTCTTACAACATTGTAGTTTGCAAGAGACCCAAGGAGTCAAGACCCCTCAAATAATAGAGGTCTTAAATAGAAAATGAAATATTTGTCAATTTAACTGCTTTGACTTAGTTAATAGTGCAAAAATTTTGTCTATGCTATATATAAAATATTCAGAGGAATATATATATATGTAATCTAGAGTTTTATTGATTTGTCAAATTTAATAACTGCACATTGATAAGTTTTGGATATTGAACACTATGACACAGTTCTGGTCTAAAAAAATTTCTGTGAGTTAGAGTAGGCGATGATATAAATATATATATTTTATAATATCTCTATTGGGTAAGTTCACTTGACGAGTTAACCACAATGCATGATGTTAAAAAGGTGTTAATACTATGATTAATGACTATACCTATATAGATAGACTACAAAGATTATTGTGTAAAGTATGTGATTTTGTTATGTTAATTGTGTTATGTGATATTTGTTTTCTTTTGTGTTGGTGGTAAGGTATGTTATAAAAATGACTTGTTGCTTAACACCATCTATTTAAGATGAAAGGATTATAGCTTTATTTATTATTTGGAAATAGAGAATTATAAGATTTCTACACACAAACTGTTGGGGATCGTTTATCAAAGGTGACTTATTTTTAATAATTTTGTTTTTATTTTTTTGAATTATCATTCTGTCTGTAATTGTGATCTACATATTATTATATTTAAAAAAGATGAACTTTTTTTACGGCAGAAAAATTATTGTTTAAATGTTTCTTCCCCATTGCATGTTAAATCAGTTATTAGAAATTTAATACAAATGTAAAATATGGAGAGCAGTGGAGAATCCTTCCTTAAAGATGCATTATGTAAGATTTAGATAAAGTACTGGATGTCCTTGCTATAATAGTTCAAAAATAGATAATGAAAAATGAATATACTGAAAAATTCATTCAAATTACTTTATTCTGAGGGTAGTTATGAGTGTGAAGATGTAGTGTAGATTGTTTATTATTGTATCGACAGTATAACTTGACAAGTCTTGATTATTCATATTATCGTAAAAAATTTAAATCTTGCAGGTGTTCTAGTCCATTTAAATTTTGGCCATTCGATCTGTGGTCTAGAGAGTTGATTATCAGCTTGTTATGATGTAAATAAATGTTTAAATAATAGTATATATAATATTTTAAGTCAAAATAACAACCAGCAACAGGAAGATTAAAAAAAATATATAGTTTTAAAGTAGCTAAGTCCGTAACTCAATGTTTAAATAATAGTTTATATAATATTTTAAGTCAAAATAACAACCAGCAACAGGAAGATTAAAAAAAATATATAGTTTTAAAGTAACTAAGTCCGTAACTCAATATCATCCAAAATCTTCGACATTGAAAACACGATTTATTTGTCAAATTAAATCAACATTGATGTTGTAATCTTACCGGAAAAAGATGGTATTCTGATATCCAATATTTAAGACAAAATAAACATTTTACCATTGGTACACGAATCGTGTACCATAATGCGTTTCAGCGCCATTTGCAACAAGGTGCTCAAAGAATGATGCTAGATATATTCCACAAGTCATGTCAAATGGTGATATCATATTCTTATTTGGAGAGCATGCGCAATAAATAATATTGGTGTTGACTGGAATAACCAGATGCTAGAAACTGTCTTGCAGTTGAGACTTCTTGCGTATTTCGCCGAACATAACTGATGACAATTCACAGTAAAACGGACACGATTGAATGTAAATCGGTTTATATAAATTCATATTACATTATTATATGTGTTGCGACTCATTTGTGCCAATTTCTAGGTCCAAAATATTAGTGATTTAGCTCCTTTAAGCCTTCACCCCAGGAATTGTATTTGCATAACCTAACAATTATAACTAATTTACTTTCATGTTATTCTCTATCATCCAAAAAATATTCTATGAATATTAGTCTGGATGCATTGTTAACATTTGAGAATAAAAGGTCATTACCAGATTATCCGGTCCTTCATATTATCATAAACAAAGTCTAAGGGGGGTAACTTGTCTTAAACCAAGATGTTGACGACCATGAAATTAATTTAAGAATGCCATTCCAGAAAATCTAATTGATGGCATTGCCAGTTCAATATCCAGCACTCTTAATTTTTTTTTTATTATAAAATTTCTCCATGGACCATATCTATGCTTTTTGATTACTGGTAACCCTAATTCGTCCTCACAATTCATGTTTGTTTATAATAATGCAAGAATTGTGGGATTTATTGTGAGAAGGGGCGCATCTCTTACTTGACTTGGCGAAAAATACTGGATAATCAACCACATAAAAAAACAAAACTCCTGGTTATACGCATGGGCAATGGAACTTTTTGACAAATATTGACAACGGTCCCAGACCCTCTGTATGTTGAAGACTTGAAGGTTCTGGGTGACCGAGACTACTTTCATGTTCAACATTGTCTTTCTCCCTAAATAATGGCACTGCTTCATTTTTCTATTCAATTTCTGTCAGTTAATTAACTGAGCCAAAATAGAATTACTGGTGTCAGACAAGCAAAATTTGTCTGGTATACTCATTCAGGGACTGTGACGGCAACGGAAATGGTTTTTCTAGTGTCTCTCAGGGTTTAATTTGAACCAATTACCTCATTCAGTGTTTGATGTGCTTAATGTTGCGTGTATGATTCTTCTTCCTAAGGTTCATAATTGTTTTTTTACAGCTATCTCGATAAAAACATGACAACTAGTACATTTAATGGACTGGTTAGACCCTTTAACATAACTTACTGAAGATTTTTGACATGTTTGAATTTCATTATTTCTGTTCTTTATATTGTAAATGCTTTGCTGTTTAGAAATGGAACAAGAACAATTTAAAGAATAACAGATTATTTATCATATGCATTTTTTGGGCAATAATCCAAATTAAAATGCAATCAAACTCATGATTTAACATTTAAAGATGCTTTATGTAAAATTTTGATAAAGAGCTGTCCGTTCTTGCTATAATAGTTTCAAAATACATAGTCCAAAAATAGTATATTGAAAATTTCATTCAAATTACTTTATTCTGAGAAACAATATCTTTTTTTTTTTTTTTTTCAAAATCTTTATTTCAAATAATCAATAACAACATAGTACATAGTTCACATATTACAATCACAGTGTGTAACATCATAAAGATAGCGTCGGTTTAATGTTGAAGGCTATACTATATTACATTGAGTAGAACAAATATATTCACAAAGAAAATACAAGCTAATAAACACTAAACAAAAAAAATACAAAAATAGCTACAGGTATTAAGGAGTTGGAATACTAGAGATGGAATACTAGAGGTATGCATAATATTCATATGGTATAATCCTATTTATTTACTAAGGTTTCGTTTAATTCATTTTCTATCTGTTGTTTACCTTTTAGGTAGTTTCGATAATTAATAATTGTCGGTCTGATATTTTCTCTTTTTCGATTTGTAGAGGTAGTATTTTGTTAAAAATATTAAATGATTTACAAATAAGAATTCACGATATGATTTAAAAACTGTTTCTTTCAGAAAACCGAAATGAATGTTCGTAAGTTGTAATTGTAATGAAATGTCATTAGTTAAGAAGATTTCATGTAAATCATTCCATATTACCTGGGCATAATTGCAGTATATAAAAAGGTGATCCGGGGTTTCTATATTTGAATAACAAAAATCACACAATGAAGACTCCTTTAATTGGATTTTAAATAAACGGTCGTTTGTATATATAATTTTATGGAGGTATTTAAATTGAAAATTTTGTAATCTAGTATCAGTGCTCGTTTTATAGACCAAATTGAATATACATGAGGTTTCACGTTCTTCAAATATAAAACTATTCTCTTCTTCCCATTTACTTATTGCTAATGGTTTACTGTATTTAGAATTACTCGTATTGAATAAATGTCTTTTGCTTTAATCTTATTTAGTGATTTTTTATATATATTTATACAGTTGTTATTAATAATGTCAAACACGCTTTGTTTTCTTACTATAGGCGTAGGTTCGTAGTCGATTGTATCCAAAAACTCTTTAACTGCTAAGCAAACGCTTTTCATTCTTAATATTTTATTACTATTCATTATCCTAATCCTATTGATTAAAAAGTCTTCTCTACAGTCAACCAAAAATAAAATATTATCATTCATTAATTCTTTATCTATTAAAGGTTTTTTGTTAATCTTTATATACTTATTGTTCCAGATGATTTGATTTTGAGGGCTTATTAACATATCGATTTTTGAGGTATAGGTATGGAACCAATTATTGAAAAGTTCTTGATAGAAGGGAGATAATTTTAAAAAAGATGTTGCATAATTACATGCCGTAATATTTGTCCGTCATACTCGTTTAATATATAAGCGTACGGAATTTTCCATGATTGAACATCGTGTGATAGTATCTTTTTTATCCAGAATACGCTACGGCATATCATCATTTCTTTTAAGTCAATCATATTTAGCCCCCCTTTATTTATATCTTGATTTATAACTGTTCTCTTTAGTTTATCAGGCCCGTTCCATATGTAGTTATAAAATAATTTATTAATGCCTTTAATTACATTTTCAGGTATAGTTTTAACTGATGCAGGGTATAATATTTTAGATACACAGAATGTTTTTATTATATGGATTTTCCCTATTAAACTTAAGTTTCGTCTTTTCCAGGTATTCAAAGTATCTTCAATTTGGTCTATACAATTTTCAAAATTCATTTTTTCCAAAGTTTTTTCGTCTAGTGAATAGGTAATGCCTAATATTTTTTATATAGTTCTCACGGTAAATAAAGCCTAAACCTTTAATATTATCAGGTAGTTGTGCGTTGCCACAACAATATCTCTGTTTGAAGTTTTGACATAGATTATCCTTGTTAATTGAGACTCAGCCTTGTTTCTCCATTTTTAAATTAAATCGTTAAATGGCAGTGATACTTTAATCCATTTACATCTGCAATCTGCACCATCCAATGGTTTAGAGAGTTGATTATAATCTTTTCATGTGAATAAATGTCTAAATAATAATTTATTTACCAATTGAAGCCAAAATAAAAACCATTATTAGACAGATTTAGCTCTTACATAATGCACGAAGAAACAAAACCCAAATATCAATGGTAGACAATCTTCTGACTAGGATTCATTTGGATTAAAAGGTGGCCCATCAAAAGATTTTCGCGAAAAGATATCCCTGTTTATGTCATCTACATGGGATGGCGGGATGCCAATGTTGACAAATGTTCAATTTATCATATCTTTGTAAATACTGAAGAGAATTAATTGAACCATTTTTAGGCTGATATATTCCTTTTAGAGATTCAACTTTTAAAACATTGTAGTTTTTAAGGGATAAAAAAACACTCAAATGATTTTAACAAATGACGGGGATGATATTGAGACATATAAAATTTATATCCAATATCTCCCCCTCTATCTCTTCCTTAGAAATTAAAGAAGCATGGATTGTATTTTGTTTGCCTATACTTAACTTTTAACTCTACAATAATCAATTACACTTAATGCTACTTATGATTTATTTTGACTGGAATAAGAGAAATCATATCATTGCAATCAAAATTCTTCTTTTGTCCTGTGAGAAATGAGGTATTTGTTTGATTTACCCATACGTCAACTTGACAGATGAATTGATAAGATACGAAAAAAGAACCCCAAAGAATCAAGATTTATGATGTAAGAGATATGCAAAATAAATAATGGAGAAAGTTTAATCAGTTTTATCTGTGCCTTAAAAGCTTTGTCTATATTTTAAATTACTTCTTTGTTTGTTGAACTATTTAAGGGTTAAAAGAGGTGTTATATGAAAAAGCAATATTCAGTGTGCGAAATTGTTTCTTAGCTCAGTGTATAAATATGAATTTTAGAAATTATTTAAAGTAAACCAGTCCAAGAATTACTGAGATAATAAAATTTGAACAAGGGTATAAATTAACTACCTATTTAAATCTGAGATCACAATCATGGTCTTAGTAATGCCTTTTTTTTTGAGAAAAACAAAGAACCTAAATTCATTCTTATCTTCCACAAATGTCTCATTTCGTATGTGAAATATGCATGTTTCAAAAGATGGATGATATCGTATTTTCACACAGCATTCTAGTTTTCTAAGATGAATTTCACTATTTTGGGTGGTCTGTAAGGTTTGAAGGCCTGCACAGCACAGCAGATCTAAGATTTAACAATACTTTTAAATAATGATGCAATTTCTCTTCCCTTGGGAATATGTTTTAAGTAATAGATGGCACACATTTTACTTGTGTAATCGCTGTTCTCATATATGTTGACCCCCTGTAGTTTCGTGATACTCATTAATTTCTTGTTTTACAATATCTGATTCTAATTGACAAAGATAATTTTTATACACCCACATTTTCATGTGGACGTATATTGTTGTCGCCGGGCCCTATTCGTCCATCTGTCTGTCTGTCCACAATTTGTTTGTGGATACTATAGGCCTACAGGTCACAATTTTTATCCGATTTTGACGAAACTTAAAATATAGGATTATATCCCACAGATCTCAGTTCCTTTTGAAATTGGCATGTATTGGACCGTAACTTCATGGATTATGGCCCCTTATTGTTTGAAAAATCACGATTTTTGCTTCTGGACAATCTGATTTTGATGAAATTTGAAATGTATGTTTATAACCCAAAGATCTTGGTTCCATTCTATATTTGGGTATATCTGATCGTAAATTCCTGATATGGTCCATAATTTTTAGCCTGTGGTCCTTCTAGAAGTCACAATTATTATCCAATTCTTAAAAACATTTGAGATGTATGTGTTGTGTCATGTACATGTATTCAGATGAATATCTACGAGCTTTATTGAACTGCAAGGAAAACAAACTTTAGTGCCATAGAATGTGTTTCTGATATTGCTCCTGTCATGGTATGAACACAACCTATAGTAATTACCATTATTCATGATGCAAAATTATGGTGCCTAGGAGCAAAGATCCCATTAAAACGATTTATTATTATTTCAGTCTGAAAAAATCCAGAAACCCTACTATAATACTTTGATTGAGAAATGGTATTATATGAAATGATAATGGCTGACAGTCCATTTTAAAGAATAGATTACTTTTAAACTGAGTTATCAATCAGTGTTTTAATAGTCAGATATTAGCTAATGTAGATAATGGAACAACCCATGAATGCATAAAACACTTCAAAAGAAAAAATAATTAGACACTTAGATTTAGACTTTATTGATCTTCTATGCAATTGAGTTTTTTTTCTCTTACTCTCTTGTGGTTTTAGGGTTAATTTCCTCCATTATCACTAATCTGCTTAACACATTTTTATTTTATATATTTCACTACTGTATGATTAGCCATAATATTGGTTGCGGGATTTACATTAAATTCAGTTGACATAAAAAAAAAAAAATAATTTATTACAGGGTCCCCTGGATTGATGGATAACAAGACAAGGTGGCGTGTGTATATGACTGGCCAGGGATTTATTTAACAGTGGTGATTAGCTGCCGAGAGAGAGATGGTGTGATCACTCTTTGTCTCTGATTCAATCGTGTAATGCTTCAAGTTGTAATACCAGCAGGAATCTACTTAGGATTTCTTTTTCTACTGTGAATTTCTGGTGGTAAGAATAACTGAAATCATGATCTGAAGTCCCTCAGTTTGTTTTTGTGGTGTTTAACTTTTTTTTATAAATCATAAATAAACAGGAGTATTATCACATTTTAAGACCACACTAAAAAGATGAAATAACAGCTTTTGTATCTGTTTAGTTTTGCATTTATATTAAATGTATAATTCTTTAAAAATGTGACTATTTTCTTTTTCATTGAGTAATATTGCTACTGTGGATACTTAAAATGTTCTGGTTAAATATTGGAGTATTGAACATCATATTGTGAAAATGTCAAGTGCCTATCAAGCACGTTACATGTCACCTGTAAAAGAAGATCAGGAATGTAATGGAGGTACAAATCTCAGTCTTAATTCGACTGGTGTTAACAATGTGAAAAAAACTGGTAATTCTGATTTAGACCCCGAGGAACCCATGAAAAATGCTCAGATCCATTTCTTACCGAAACCGTCCCAGGATTCACGTGTATGCATGGTTTTATCTCGGTGGACAAATCGTGAAAAATATCTTGGAGCCTTATGTTTATTGTTATTTGTGGCCTGTGTTGTATTTATCATTGTTGCCTTTACCAGATCTGGTCTTCTACAAGGTAAGATACTCTATTAATACATAATTTCCACTGTTTTGATATAAATATAGATTTGATAGAACTCATGTTTTCTGGGCAAAATGTTAACGGGTGGGACATTATTGTTTCCACAAATTATTCATATACAAGTCTGATGGATATGTACAATTATACTAAGAAAGGAAATGAAATGGGGTTTAACGTTTTACTTTTCACCAAGAGCAAAACTGGGATAATAATAGTAAATGCTGGAGAACCAGACCACATGTTATTGAAAACATAAATGCTTTGCACATGGATGATGCTACCATTACCCATCTAGTATACAGATCTCAGAGGGGCACAGACAGTACATGAAGTGTCATTACGAGTCACAGTTTTATATAAAAAAGTCCATCTGTGGTGGTGGTTGCTCTGAGGTGTTGGCTTACTATCTAGGAGATTAGGGGTTCAACAGAAAGTTCCCAGAATTATCCAGTGTGGTTTCCACAGTGTGGTGCAAGACAGAGGTTCTAGGAAGGAACATTATCTAGTCATTTGGATGAGACGAAAAGAACAGGGTAGAGGTGCAAGTTGGAAACCACATAAAAGAACCCTTGACAGTAGTTGATCTTGCATAGGGTGCAAAATAGTTTTGTCCAAACAGGTCACAGTTTAAGAAAAGTTTTTGTCAAACCTTATCGAAAGGACTTTTTAAAAGAGTTCCTGTCCTGCCAGTGCAGTGTTCTCCCAACAGAGCTTTTGAGATTTTCTTTTCAGACTTGCTTGTAGTGTTTGGCAGGTCAAAATGAGTAACCCTGTTATACATCAAGTTTCCAATTAATATTATGTGTAGTTATTGACCCTGACACCAAATTTTGTGAGCCTTCTTTTAAAATGTTGCTGGTAGACACACAGTCATTATCTGGCAGCATATGTTTTAGAATGCTTTAATTGAAAATTTCATCCTTACAAATATTTTTGACGTTGCACATTTATTCAGTATTTATGTATTATGGAGATTACCTTGAAGTGTCTGTCTTCATTAGCCCAATTGGAGAAGATCAGTAGGATGTTAAACCCCATTTCATTTCATTTCACCTTGAAGTGTGATTTTTGGTGTACTTCATCTTGTAGATTTAGATTGGAAACCAATTAAATAATAGCTAACAACATAAATAGGTCAATTTTTGCTCTACCCTGGGTCAGCCATATTTTTTTTTAATTTCCCTAGCGTTAAACTGAAATATATTTATGGAGGCATTGGATATATATTTATAAAGATTTTAATTGTCTACTAATGAATTGTGACTGGCTTGGTACATTTTGTATTCTAAACAAAATATTTTTGATTAAAGTCATGAAAGATCAGTTTGATGAGATTAAAACATCAAAATAATAACATTGCTAGATTAAGTAGCAATATTAATTTTAAAATTTCATGCCCAAATTCCCTTATTTTGTCTTCATAAACTTGGTTGTTCCAGAAAAATAGGACCTTAACCCCCATTTCATTTCATTTTAGCATTCCTTTTTAGCATTGTATCCATTTCTGTCATAAAGTAGGTGATGTTATTAGGACCCAGTAAATATATGTAGTATAATAGGAAGTTTTGAACGTGTTCTCTGATTCAATTCCAGTAGGTCATAAATACCTTTTGGTCCTACCACTTTTTCAGTGAATCATGATGTGGCAGTTGAATGTTCCACTCATGTGAATAAATGAATTTGATCATTGATTTATGAAAGTTGAACAAAACATTCTAAAGGTTACCCTCTCAGCTCACTAGTCAAAAGAAATAATCCAATAATTGGTTTCAATTCTCAAAGGATTTCATCTTTAATCTTGTTGTAAAAATCAGGGTTTTACTGGATTCTATTTAGTGTCACCCATGTTTTGTCCTTGATTATAGATTTTGTAGAATTCAGTATCTGGTTGTACTTGGATGCATTTAGATTTTTTCTTCTCCTTTAAGTAATATATACCTTCCCGCATGATTTGATGACATATTTGGACTAAAAAAGTATTCAAACTAATTAATCTATCAAAAATTTGCTTCAAATCCCTCTCAAAAATTTGCATTTGTGAGGAGAAACCCCAACCTATAAAAAATCTGTTTTTAGAAGCCATGTTTGTCACCTTACATGATTGAGGGAGGGCCCACTGTTTATTGCTGAGTCTGTTATACGTTTATACCCTTTAATGTTTCCCAAACCCCTTAACCATTCGATCAAGAAATAACAACTGCTCCCTAAGTCAAGCTGGTAGACAATAAGCTGTCAGGTTGCCAGTTAATGATACCCTGACATTTTTACCCAGTGCTTGACCCATGGGTGTTTTTCAGGTAATCCGGTATTTTTCTAGTGAAACTGGGCGTCTATACTTTCCATATATACCAAATTTGCCATACTTTTATTCCAAACTACCTGATAAATACTTTTGTGAGAATTATTTATCTTTAAGTAATAAGGGTGGTTGGGTGCCTAAGAGCATAAGGTCTGTCATTGAGACTAGTAGCGTTTCTATTTCACGCCTGTACGTCGTCTGTCCACCCCCTACACTCAAACGAATTATAGAAATAAAATGGAAGCATATTTTAGTCACCAAATGATCTAGTTTCTCTCTCCCCTTAAAGTAATCAGTGGGAGGTCTCTGATTGGTCATCATTAAATAAGGTATATGTATGTTGGCCGTTTTAAATCTCAGCTCAAAGCATTCTTGTTTCAAAACCCTGATCTGTAAAATAATGCAGGATGGAGGGTCTGACAAGGACAACTGTCTAGTTGTTCGGAAATCCCCCAAAAATGAGGTCCCGTGTACACATTGGCGTGTATGTAAAAGATCTCTTGGCCATTAGTATTCGATATAAAAGTAGGCCGTAGCACAACTGTCTGGGCAAAATTTCCCTCATAGCACATTGCATGGTGTATGCTCGTCTTCATTAGCCCAGTTGAGAATGTTGTACTCTGATGGTCTTCTCCTTTAAGTAAACTATCAGTAGTATATGGTTGGCTGCATGTGGAGTGTTTGTCTTGATGATTAAGGATTTGTGTGATAATGGGGAAGGTTTAAATGATAGTTTGCACATTCTGATTAATAATATCTATCAGCAGTTTTCCACATGACTAGCAATTACCTCCCGTCGCGTGATCATTAACTCTCTTGATATCTGGTTCAGTCTATTTTCTCAGGACACTAAACAATCTCCTCTCTACTACACTTGGTTAATAAACCTTTAATGTAACAGCCAATTACGTAGAAACACGCCACGATCAAGACATCACAAGAAGAATTGTTTGCCTTTCTGAATGTTTTCAAATAATTGATTTTTTTGTCTGATTTCTTTTTAATCATTGTGGTTTTGTCAATCAAAAATCAGTTTTTATGAAGAAATTACAAGAAAGTAATAATTTATTGCTTGTAATCACGACTAATGAAACAGCGTCCGTGTTTTATAATCAACAATAGTGTATGGCTGTACAATTTGACAAATGACAGCTGTCTGGCAAGTTGGTTAGCATTATTCCCTTAGGTAGATATTTACAATCTGTAGGTTGTTTTTAGGTGTTGTCTCTTTATGCAAGATCTGATACTATTATTGGGATATTGGTCAGTAGTGAGGTCATTCGAAGAACACTAATTATTAATTCCATAAATAAGAATTTTGTAGTTTGACCGGTCTCTTTTTCTTACCTCTCTCTACTTTTTGTCCGTAATTAACAGCAAATGTAAAGCTGTCAACCACAATGTTAAAAATATGCAAATAAAAGATAACAACATTTTGCCATAGATGAACGGAGATCTGAGAAAATTGGTAGGGCTCATCCTCTCATTGTCCCAATGCTTCACATCGAATTAGGACAAAAATCTGTTGAAAACTGTACATAGTCCTATGGCATTCATTAGGTTTTCAACAAAGCGGGTAACTCTGGAATGGAAGGTTGCATAATGCTGAATGCTGATAATGTTTGTCTGCTCATGAAACAAATGTTTTACCAGATTTGAAAAAATATCTTTTAAAAACTGTAGCTGTGGAAATAATAAGTCATAAAGTTCCTTTATGGGTTCACATTGGAGTGTACGTAAAAAACCCAAAAAAACTTTGACAGTTGGAATAAGAAATACATAAGAGTAGGTCAAAGAGCCCATGTCCATGCAAATTTCCTTCTTAGCACACTGTTTGGTGTTTGCCTGGTCGATGTACAGTAGTGGGTGACGTATTAAAATCTATAAATGTGAAAGCGTTCCAGGCTATTATGAATTAAAAGCAGATTTCGTCCACTCGTATATTCATGTACATGTATTTATGGAACAAATTTTTAGAAATCATACTGTAAGCCTTTGGGTCATTTGGCTGGATTTAGAGTTATACCCACACATTTATACATTTGACATCATATATAATCTTTTTAATTGCCACTTAAATTCTGCGGATTTTGTTGCAGTAAATTTACTTTGGTCCATATGAAATGTGTGGGAAATATTCATGTAGACTTATATTGTCATCGCCCCTGTCCTTCCGAACGTCCGTTCACATTTTGTTTGTCACAATTTTTATCCGATTTTGATTAACTTAAAATTTATTTTTATATCCCAAAGATCTTGGTTCCTTGTGATATTGACACATATCGGTCTGTAACATCCTGTATTTTTAAGCTTGTACTCTGTCCACCTCTTGCAAAATGTGAGCGTATCTGGCATGGCAACCATTTGTTTTATTCCTAGATTGAAATAGAGTGGTTATACTAATGTCTGTTCATCCATCTGTCTTTCTTCCTTCTATGAAATTTAATTTCCGCTCTCCACAGCAAATATGTTTGTTTTTTATTGCGCCACAGAGCTCCCACTGATTGGGATTTATTTATATTAGAATGTCATTATTTGTGATTTAGTTGAGTGAGTATTTACTCACAAAACTAGGAGGTCGTTTGTTTAATACAGGTGTTGGTTAAGAAAGTTCCTCAGGATTTTCCTGCCTGGTTTCGACTTCTCAGCAGTGGTGCATGATATGCATTATGAGAGACCTGCCTGTTAAGCTGGAAAATTTTTAGAACCATTTGAAAATTAGACATTATTTGTTAAAGCTTTAAAACAAATGTATGTTGATCAATATTTTGTTATATAAATGCTAAAACCTACATATGTTAATTTTGTTGTTATTTGTCTCTGTATAGCAAAAGTATTCATTTCAGTGGAACTGATTCCCATAGCTGTCCAATTTTCTTATCATAGTATTCATAGTTGTTTATTTTTACAGGTCATCCACAAGGGTTTTGTAATTCCCGAAAATGTGTCCAAACAGGTAAGAATAATTTGTGTATATTCAACATATTTCTGTATAGATGGGCTTACACTTGAGTCTGGGGGGCAATAGGGCGTACGGTCAAGTAGTTGGCCCTGGGCATCACCAAACCCCTGCATGCCACTGGTTGTATCAAATTCATTGTCACCCACGTAGCCTTGCTACCATTCACTAATCTCTGTAATTATCTCTTTTTATATGCCACATGGAAATGTGGTCGTATATTGCCGTCTCCCCCGTCCGTCTGTTCGTCCATCGTCCACAATTTCTTGTAAACACTCTACAGACTACATTTATCAACCGATTGTTTTGAAATTGATATATGTTGTTTGCATTAGTGAGATGAAGAAGCCTATTTAATTTCAATAACTTCCGTTAATTTCTTCTGGAGTTATGGCCCTTGTTTCACTTTGTTGCACCTTGTGAACGCTCTAACGACAAAAGTTATCAACCGATCTGTATGAAATTTATATGCATCATTTAAATTAGTAAAACAAAGAAGCCTATTGAATTTCAGCAATTTCCATTAATTACATCTAGAGTTATGGCCCTTGTTTCACTTTGTTGAATCTTGTGAACGCTCTAATGACAAAAGTTATCAACCCATCTGTATGAAATTGATATGCATCATTTAAATTAGTGAAATGAAGAAGCCTATAGAATCTCATTAATTTCTGTTAATTTCTTCTGGAGTTATGGCACTTGTTTCACTTTTTTGCACCTTGTGAACGCTCTAACGCCAAAAATTATCAACCGATCTGTATGAAATTTATATGCATCATTTAAATTAGTAAAACAAAGAAGCCTATTGAATTTCAGCAATTTCCGTTAATTACATCTAGAGTTATGGCCCTTGTTTCACTTTGTTGTATCTTGTGAATGCTCTAATGACAACAGTTATCATCCGATCTGTTTGAAATTGATATGCATCATTTAAATTAGTGAAATGAAGAAGCCTATGGAATTTCAGCAATTTCCGTTAATTTCTTCTGGAGTTATGGCCCTTGTTTCCCTTTGTTGCACCTTGTGAATGCTCTAACGACAAAAGTTATCAACTGACCTGTATGAAATTTATATGCATTATTTAAATTAGTAAAACAAAGAATCCTTTTGAATTTCAACCATTTCCGTTAATTACATCTAGAGTTATGGCCCTTGTTTCACTTTGTTGAATGTTGTGAACGCTCTAATGACAACAGTTATCATCTGATCTGTTTGAAATCATTTAAATTAGTGAAATGAAGAAGCTTATTGAATTTCAGCAATTTCCGTTAATTACGCGGTGAGTTATGGCCCTTTGTTTCACTTTGTTGTACCTTGTAAATGCTCTAACAACAAAATTTATTATCCGATCTGTATGAAATTTATATGTATCATTTAAATTAGTAAAACGAACAAGCCTATTGAGTTTCAGTTATCACCTAAATTAGTGAAATGAAGACGAACAAGCCTATTGAATGTCAGCAATTTCCGTCAATTACATCTAGTGTCATGGCCCTTGATTTACTTTGTTGAACTTTGTGAACTTTCGAACAATAAAAGGTATCATCCGATCTGTATGAAATTTATATGCATTATTTGAATTAGTAAAATGAAAAAAGCCTGTCGAATTTGAACAATTTCTGTAGATTGCTTCCAGAGTTACGGCCCTTGTTTTAGTTTTTAGAACCTTGTGAACCTTCAAACAACGAAAATTATAATGTCATCTGTATGAAATTGTCTATTAAACGGCTACTAGTGGGGTCCCTCTATGAAAGGTGAGGCCCTGAGCATACCAAGATAAACATTGAACCTTAGTGGTGCAGAATAGAGGGCCTTCAAGGAACAGTGTCTAGTCGTTTGACATTAGCATGAAAAACTGAGGTCCTGTTAGTAGACATTAGCATGCACAGGACATCAGGAATCTGACACATTTCTGATCTGTGGTAAAGAACTTTTGTAGCAAGATTGGTAGAAGTTTTGCTCTTTAAATTAGTACATCATTGTATTAATAATATATCTTTGGCTAATTGTTAGATTCACACATTGTATAGAAGTCATATTGTCTCATATGCACTTAAATCAAAATGAGTGAATGGTTGACATATAAAAAAAGATTTATAAACCTAAACAAGAATATCATGTTTAACACATGATTGGAAATTTACTAATTGCATAATACACTGTGATAGACTTCAATGCCAATACCAATATGGGTGCTATAAAAGAGACTGCCAGACCTTTTGAGATCAGATATCATTGGATTCCGGAGAGATTAACATCTGAGTTCCTGAGAATGACTTTATTGTAATCAATGCTTGTATCTTATGTAATCAGTGCTTGATATAAAATGTAAAAATGAACTGATGCATTGTTATTCCTGGTAAGACAAATGTATTAACTACTGAGAAGACAAACGTCTTAACTACTGAGATAGTAATAAGAAGAAAATGCATGTGAAAAGGAAGCAAAGAAGACACTTGAAAATACTAGACAATCACAAGGGTACTAAGATATGTAGTAAGAAGAGAGTGCATGGGCCACATGTTGGATGTGGAGAGTTTTCCCCGTGTATTTTCCACATGTAGTCAGCGACACATAGTACTGCATGGTGCTACATATTGGCACCCATCTTGCAGAAACTTTTGTCATTCCTAACTTGTTGGCGATAATGTGCTCAACCCTCTCATGAGGGACACTGGCAATATGTTGAGTGGTCAATCGTCAACCAGCCATCACCATGTCATGCATCCCGTTAATGTTAACTTGAATGGTTGCTGTTGATGGCCTTCCGGGACACGGTTAATTGTCAAGGCTCTCTATGCCACGCTTCAATTGTGGAAAAGGAAGGGCCATCATCCCCTAAAGTGGAGACCATGTCGGCATGTATCTGTGTTGGGGTTAGTCCTTTCAATTGCAGGTACTTGATGACTGTCCTATAACTAGTGTTGCCCATTCCAGGTGATTTCAATTGGTAGGTTCATAAGATGGTCAGGTACTTAGACAATAATAACAGTACAGTTCTTATGTCTATGATTCATTCAGTAATTGCACTTGTTGGCTGCAGAATTTTGTTTCAACCCAATTGATCTATCTTTCTAGGCTTAGAACTTATAAGCTAGCCATTGTAAATGCAATGCATTCATTGTCAGATTTATTGGAGCGCACATATTGCTTCAGCAATATTCTCAGAATTCTTATTGATACATTACTTAATAGTACAAGCCCCAAGTTCACAAAGCATTTTCAGACTTAATTTAAGAATTTACTCAATATTGTTGACCTTATTTCAACTCAAATATAGCCCTTTATAAAACCTCTGTTGTTTTAATGTATCAAATACACCAATAGGAAACTATGTGCAAAGTCTTGTGTTTCTGGATCAAAGATATTTCTCATAAACAGTGATTGAAAGTTGAGTAAATTCTTAACTTAAGCCTGAGAATGCTTTGTGAACTCGGGGACAGATCTCACCAATTTAAGTAGAAGTCATTTGACAAATTAAATGAGCTAGAATCAGATATCGGGGCATGGTGAGTATGGGGGTATTTTTTTCAAATTTAGAAATTTGTGCATGTGCAGGTTATGGCTTTACCCAACCAGTTGTCCAAACACATGGAAATTAGTCAGGAATAAAAAGAATATTCAGCATGGTGAACACAAATGAAATATATAGTTTTCTGCAGATCAAATTTCCCTATCATTCTGATAACAATTGCTGTATGTTCGGAGTTCTCTTTTAGCTGCCAAACTTATGGAAGGAATGGATTTTACAGCTGACCCATGTGAAGATTTTTTTAAATATGCCTGTGGTCAGTGGAATAAAAAACATGTCATCCCAGAAGATAAATCAAGTTTTAACACCTTTGAGAAACTTCATGATGAACTTCAAATTATATTAAAAGGTAATGGTATTTATACTGAAAGACAAAATAAAATCACCATCTTGTGGATCCAAATATTCTAATATTTTGACCATCAAAGTAAAAAAAAGGGGGAGATTAAAAAAATAGTTCTACATCCTCATTGGCAGTAATTTAACTTAGTTTTATTTCCAATATATGTTTCATTGGGGTTTTAATGATTCAAAATTACAGAAAAAACCCAAATGAATCCATGTTAATATTTTGAAATAAAAGAGTATATATGTTTTTGATTGACAGGTCAGTTAGAGGAACCACCTAGTATTGACGATAATCAAGCATCAATTAAAGCTAAAATACTATATAAATCTTGTGTTAATGTTAGTAAGTATTTAACTTTCTATAGGTAATGTATACTTACTATTATTGATATATAAATATATATAAATAGTTTATTTACTAGTATAACAACTTTCTGGTCAAGTTTTCTCTGGAATCACATTGCCCTGGTAACATCTTTACTAGAATGGCATTGGCCTATAGTTTATTCTTGAATGAAACATACTGTCCTGGTAAAGATTTACTAAATGATTTTCTTGAATGATAAGAATAAGTCTGACACTTCCCAAGAACAGTTTGTACTAGAATAACAATGTCCTCAGTAAAGTTTTTATTTTAATGACACATACTTTCCTTATAAAGCTTTGTTAAGTTTGATTCGTCTTGGCACTGCACTATTAAATTTGTTACAAAATGACACAACCCTAATAACATTTCATTAGAATGATGTTGGAGTGAGTCTGGTAAAGATTTTACTTGAATGCCTTTACCTTGGTAAAGTTTCTCTGTTAGAATGACATGCTCTAGTACAGTTTTTACTAGAATAACACCGCTCTATTAAACATACATTATGCAAGAGCTAAATCTGTCTATTGCAGGTCTTTCTTTAGACCACAAATGTTATTTAAATTATTAATTAGACATTAATTAACCTATCCAGACCATAATCAACTCTAGATGGCATCGCTAGCCTGCGATCTTTAGTGGATTATGAGCCGATTTACTGCATAACTTTCCTTCACGATTCAACGATTAAATGGATAATCAAGACTATGCTGTTTATAGTACTGACTTTAGTACTGATGATCGAGGCTAGGGGGAAATTTCAATCGCTTAGTTCTCGGTTCATAGTGGATGAATTTGAATGAAATTTTCAGCAAATTGCCTTTACATTATCAAGTTTGTAACTATTATAGTGGGAACTGCCAACTCGTTATCAAATCTCCCATAATGTATCATTAAAGTTTATACACTCTAGTATAAACTTTAATAGAGACTACCCCAGTAATAATGTTACAAGAGTGCCGCTACCTTTGTAAAGTTTTTACAAGAATGACACTACCCTGCTAATAATGTTTTTACTAGAGTGTCACTGCTCAAGTAATGTTTTACTAGAGTGACACTTCCCTAGTAAATTTTTACTAGAATACTTTAAAAGAGTATGTGTAAATTATGTGTAAATTTTTGACACTATGTACTGTTAAAGATTTTATGAGAATGAGATTGCTCTGAGAGGAATTCATAAAGTCTTCTGAAGTTTGTGGAAGAATGAGACCAATCTGCAAGGAAATCACAAACTATGTGAAGTTTGTTGTAGAATGTCCTGTAAAGTTTATATTAGAATAAAGATACCATATAACCTTTTATAAACCTAGAAAAACAAAGACTGACATAAAATGACATGGTAAAAAAAATAGGCTATTCATGGACTATATTGTAATTGAGTAAATAATTACATGCAGTAAAACATGGCAATTTCACAACTTTATTTTTGTTATTTCAACTTTCAATGGAGAAATTCTGAAATTATTAATATCAAAGAGATGATGTGCAATAAAACAGAATGCATATTTATGTAGATACAGTTAATTAGTCAAATGGTGAAACTTTCTGAGCAAAATGTACGAGTTAATTCTAATATACTGCCATACTGACCCCAAGTTACATTGTGTGCTTAGGTTTTTCATCTTACTTTAAAACTCCTTTCTCAACTAGTGTTATTCTGTGGTTTTATCATCAATAATGGATCGCCTGTCTCCTCACACTTTATTGAAAATTTATTTTTTCTAAAAACACAGGATAGAATTAATTAAGCTCACAAAGTAAAATAGAAAGAAGAGTGGAACATAGCAGAAGACACTCAGATTTCTGAAATGCCAGACAAATTTATTGATAAAAGTTGGTTTTAAGTTTTTACTTTGTTATTTTAGCTCAGTTAGAGAAAGTAGGTGTCGACCCATTACGAAAAGTATTGGACAACTTGGGAAAATGGCCTGTTATCGAACCAACGTGGGACTCAAGTAATTTTGTGGTAGAAGATATGTTAGGATATTTACGAGGCTGGTATAATGCACCAATATTGATAGATTGTTGGGTTGGCGCAGACGACAAAAACTCATCAGCCAATATTATTCAGGTAAAACTACAATACATCATTGACAGTCCAGACATGGACTTTTATACTTCCTTCTTTACTTCAATCACAAACATTTCATCCATCATTCTGTCAAAACTAATTTGTCTAATCTGTAGCATCAAACTTCGAAGTTTTAAACCAGATTTCTAAATTTTAAACATTGTCCATACTTAACAGCTTGTCGCATTCATCATTATGGATATGACATTTAAATGCAGATTATACAGTACATGCCCCACAAAACAATAATATAGTCAATAGTTTATAAAGGAGAAACTGTTAAAGGTCTTGAACTTTTTAAATTACAGACTAAAACATTCTTTCATTTTGTTTTGGGGGAACCTGTGACTTACTGATCTATCTTAGATTTCGGGTCCTCCAGCTTACTCCCACAGCTAAAAACACTTCGAGTCCTCCAGCTTACTCCCTCAGCTAAAAACACTTCGAGTCCTCCAGCTTACTCCCTCAGCTAAAAACACTTACGTGCAAGAGAATAATTGAAATAAAATTGAACCATGTTTGTACCAAAATAACCTGGTTTGTGTCGAGTGGATGTTACAACGAATTTCTCTCTCTGACTTTAAATTTAAACACAGTATTACTAGTCATTAGACAAAAAAAACTATTGAATTTCAACATTTTCCAATAATTACAGCCAGAATTATGACCCTTCATTACTTTATAAAATCTTGTGGACACTCTAGTGGCTATGGTTAATATCCGATTGACTATAAATGTATACACTTAAGATCACGAGACAAACAATTTAAACAAATTCTAATGATTTCTGGTAATTACTTAACGTAATCAGATTTTAGTGTGTTGTAAATGTTTTCATTCCTGACAAAGAAAAAATATTGTTGACTGCCAAACGACTTAACTGCTGTGGCCATGTTCCATTGCCTGGCAACCTATCTTATTGTTATTGAGTCATGTAACTTATAATTGAAGATATGTTATAAAACATGAAGCAGATATATGATATGAGAGCTTGAAAATTTTCTTTACAGTAATGTGCTAAATTGCCTTACATAGGAAGACGTGACATGGATGTGTGTAAACCACAATTACATATATTGATACATTAGTTGCCATCTCCTTGTATTTTATGTTCTTTCATTGTAATATATAATCTTATATCTCATTATTTTTAATGGTTAGATTTATTGTGTCGCTTTTAAGCTGTCTTTCACACACACACACACACACACACATGATATTGATTTCTTATTTTTTGGTGTCTGAAAGCAAGATTATGGTGTGTTACAATTTAGTATTCATATCTTTGTAACCTTAAAGTTAGCTGCTTGTCATAAAATAATAATGCTTTCAACGGCTGAGAATTCTAAATTTTGCCAACCAAATAAAATTTGAAAATCCATATTGAATATGTGATTTCGATTTTATAGAAAATGAAACCTCAATTTAAAGATACTTTCCCACATACAAATTGTGATTTGATGATATATTTGGACTAAAAACATTCAAACTAATCAATCTATGAAAAATTTGCTTCAATTCCCTCTCAATTGTGGGAGGGTTCATTTTTCAGTATGTATTTATCATTACTTACTGTCATTTACCATACATATTGAGGCCTAAGTAAATTCTTAATTATTTTTCCGCCGTTTAATTGCAGAGTCTTTTGTACTCAATATAACAACCGTCTCCCTCAGTCAAGCTAGCACACAATAAACTGGCAGACAACAGTCGGATGATACCCTGACATTTTTGCCCAGTGCTTGCCCCATGGGTGTTTTTCGGGAAATTAAACCTTAACAGAAAAGACTGTAAAGTCAATTGTTATTTAAGTGATTTTAAGGGTAGAACGAACCAGACTATTAATTTGGATGGGACGGAAAATAAGAGTAGGCTGTACCGCTGCTTTCCAGGCATATATCTTCATCTTCATTAGCCTGGAAGGTTCCAAAAAGTTTCATGAATGTTTGTTTAAAATACTTAAATGTAAAGATTTGCTTGAATTAGATGTTAATGCTTGTCAAGTGTAGATATTAGATTCTTTTGTTCCTTAATAAGATCAATTTGACTAGCTTACGAAAATGTCTTCAAGTTTTGGAAAAATCAGAACCTGGATGGATCTTAAAGGCTCAATACCACTCCTGTTGTAACTGAATAATATGTCCCAATCTTTATTCTGGTCAACAAATTGTACTTTTCTAGAATATTTCAATTAATTGATGATACAAATTTCATCTTAACACACCTTATTTAAAAAATTTGAAAAATTCAACATAATGGTTTGAAGTGTCTAACGTAAACCTTTTCAAATGAAACTTCGATTTAAAAATATTTTCGAACCCTCTGGACAAGTAAAATAGGATGTAATGGATAATTTACACAACAGGTAGGACACTTAAACATCTAGTACTTAGATAGAGATATTATTTAATTGCTGGAGCTTTCAAGCCAGCAAGAGTGTTATTGTCCCTTTAAGCACTTGAAACTAAATGAAGATAAAATTATTAAAGTTAACCTTTTCTGTCCAAACACACAATTATCAAATCTCCTAAACCTAGAAGTTCTCATTGGGACAAAGATATTGAATTTCCGTCAACAACATTTTTCAAGAATTTAGTCGCATTATTGGATAGTTGTTTGACCTTTACACAACATCTTCATAATACGTGTAGAAAAGGCCACGTTTTTCTGAAAAACATCAGTTCTATCCACATTGTTCTCACACAGGATTTTGTGGCAGTTATTGTGTGCGGTCATTGATTCTATCCTGCCTGGATAATTATGATAGCCTTCTTGCTGGTCTTCCTCGTAAGCAACTAAATCACCTTCATTGAATCCAAAATCTCACAACAAGAATGGGTAGAAGTTATTCCAATCGTTGTTAGATAACCCCAGTTCTTCAAACCCTTCATTGGTTACCAGTCAGTGCTTGGATATACTTCATTTTTCATTACAAAAATTGACAAAACCTTAGATTAACAGATTTTTTTCTTATGTGCTATGAGAAAATTCAGTTGTCACAATATAAATGTAGTATTAATAGTCACTTTTGTTATTTGTATATATATACCTTTCCAAATTGTAGTTTAGTTTAGTTTAAACATATTTTATTGACAAATATCAAAAGGATTGAGCACAAGTTTCAAAAACTTAGAAAAGCCCTTTCCATACATACAAATCATAGACAAAATTTAATACAAACAAGATGGCGAAATAGTATATACAATAATAAATAATAGGTGATATGAGTAAAATCAGATGAATTATATCGTAAAGCTCTATATAAAAATAAGTGAAGAGGTGATAAAGAGAATATAAAATTATATTTAAAATTATATCGCAATATCACTGTTATACATTTTGTTCAATATTTTTAAAACATTGAAAAATAAAGTTTAATAAATGGGGTATAATTAGGATATAATTGAACTGATGCATGTATAAAATGATTTGCTAAATAATTCTAAACAATCGAGTTAATTATGCTCTCTTGTTACCCTTACGAACGAAAATTTGCGGAAAGTGCAAGGGAATAAAGGAAATATATTATAATGATTGATATGACAACAACAAAAGCGGCGGAGGGGGGGGGGAGTTATCCACCCAAAAAAACAAGCAAAATAACTATTGCTAATAATATATACTAAGAAGTAACTAATATCATTAAGTTTTATTTAAATCGTTTTGAAAGTTTGATATATTTGTGAACTTCAAGGAAAAGGTTTGTATTCATCTCAATTGACAATTCTGGATTGCCGCACAATAGGATATCTATATTTATCACAGAATAATTTGACAATGTATTTAATAACTCGGCACGTATTACATCATATAAGTGACATTTCAGAAAATAGTGTTCAGCATTTTCTATAAATTGTACACATAAGGTGTGTTATATATACCTTCCCATATTGTACAGTTTGATATATATTTACCTTCCCATATTGTACAAATTGGTATATATACCGTTCCATATTTTACAACTTGGTATATATACCTTCCCATGTACACAATCAATAAATATCACATTCAATTTGCTATATATAATTGTAAACTACACTACACTATTTTTGATATCTTCCTTATTGTAAAATTTACTATTATGGTTGTATTTTTCTTTAGATATGGCTTAAATATTTCAGTTAGATCAGCCTGTTCTCGGTATGCCTAGCAGAGAGTATTATTTAAATGATAAAGATTCCGAAAATATACGAGCTTACCGGAAATATATGTACGATATGGCCATGTTGTTAGGTGCTACAGAAGAATCAGCTAAGATAGATTTACAAAATGTTTTTGATTTTGAAACAAGATTGGCAAATGTAAGTACAATTTAAAATAATTTGATGTTTTGATCTGTCTATAAAACTTAAACAAATTAAAGTGGCAGTCCCATCCATATTTCATAGGACACCTTAAAAACAGTGAGTTGGCATGTATGGCAGAGTATGCTTACTCTTTTTCCAAACACTAGATACTACTTTGCCATGATAACCTCAGTTAGTCTAACTCACTAATATTTATTGATGGTCTTTGAAGTGCTCTTTAGGATAGATGATGCAATATTTCATTATTACATGTTTGATCTTAAACAGCTTCCCAAGAATTAAATAATTGGTTTTGTTGTTGTATTATTCCTGCACATGATTTGCATGTATCCTTACTACCTTTATGTATTTGTAGGTAACGAAACCACAAGCAGAACGTCATGATACTGGTGCTATATATACTAAAGTAACAATTAAAAAATTACAGCAAATGACAACAGGGGTAGGTCTTTATTAACTTATTACTCACTTCAGCTGTATCATTCTACTTCACTTATCAAAAATTATAATTATGGAAATTATTCACATTGTAAATTTGTATTTATTAAAATCCAGCTAATTAAATTGTGATTGCAAGTCAGCTTAAATGAAATAAAATGAAATGAATTTAATGTCCAAGAACTGTGGTGTCTGTATCCCAAAATCAACTTGTTTATCCCCTCCCATCTCTAGAATAATTTCTGGGACCATTGAATGTATATCATTTATTTGAATAAATTTCATCATATTCTACAGTTTGATTGGCTGAAATATTTTAGAAAATTTATACCTTCTGAGATCACAGAGGATGAGAGTGTGGTATTGTTTGCTAAAGATTATTTAATTGAAATGTTAAAGATACTTCAACACACTCATCCAAGGTAAGTAAAACCATTTCGTTTCATATAATGTTGTTTGTTTGTTTTTTTAATTTAAACTATGGTGCTAACAGAGATTTTGGAATCCTTGTGATTCGAAATTGAAGGAAGGCAAACCGCATGTGTAGCATGTCCATATATATTTGTATAGTTAAATGCAGTTTGTTAAATATGTATTAAGTAAAATAAAGATAAAGAGCTGGTAATTTTTTCTATTAAGTTCAAAAATAGATAATGAGAAATAAATGTATTAAAAATTTCAGTCAAATTACTTTATTTTGAGCGATGTTATGGGTGAAATGTTAAGAAGATAGTTTCGATGTCAAGTACTATTTCTAGTCTTTATTATCCATTTTATCGAGTTCTAATCCATTAAATATCTAAGCCATTCGATGCCCTAGAGAGTTAATTATGGGCTTGTCATGTGAATAATTGTCGAAATATTAATTTATATAACATATGAAGCTATAGTAAAAAAAAGAAGTGCAATGGGCAGATTTAGCTCTTACATATTGCACCTTTGATAAGTATTATTTGACATGGAATGTTAGACTTAATTTTGTTATTCATTCAGGAGCCACAGTGGCTCAGTGTGTAGAGTGCTGGCTTGCTAACCTGGAGGTCCTGTGTTCAATCTCAGGATTTTCTGGTGTGGTTCTCCCTTGTCAGAGGGGCAGCAGAAAAGTGAAACATATACCCCGTTTCATTTCACTTCATTCGTCATTCATTCAGCACTATTATATGATATCTTTTTCTTCATTTTTTACAGAACAATTGCTAATTATGTCATATGGAGAGTTTTGTTGGGATTTGCTCCAGAATTAACCGAAGATTTTCAAAAAATAAGAAATGAGTACAGAAGAGTTCTACAGGTAGGTTTTACCAGAGACAAAGTGGGGCTAAAAAAACAGATACGAGGCAAACCAAAAAACCGAAACCGTCGTGCTCATGGCGAACCAGCAATACAAGTGCCACTCGAACCAGCTGCCAAAACAGGCACCGCTCTTATACGATTATAAGCATGGCTGACAGAACTCAGACCGGCGCCAACCCTCACCCACAAATAAAATTTTGATTTATTTTATGGTCGAAAATGTGAGTATGATTGAAAAAAATGTGGATCGGCGGTGCCATACAATGCCTCTTACCTCTAACCGTACCATCTCATCCCAGTGTTTTACAAGATATAGGATCAAAAGATTTTGCATTGCACAAGAAACATATTAAGAGTCAATGTTACTGTTTAAGTTACCTCCCTTATTGCACCGTTTAAAAGTTAGTCAGTTGATTAATCAATTAATAATAAACAGACGTCCATTGTACATTTGGAAATTAATTCATATTATTACTTCTTTTTTTTAATGAAATACCCCAAATATGGGGATTTTTAATAATAAACTGATTACATGTAACTGTTTTAACCTCATCTGTATGCATGTTATAAACAGGGTGTTAAGAGAGATAAAATACGATGGCAGAAGTGTGTAGAATATGTTAATGAAAGACTTGGTATGGCTGTTGGGGCCATGTTTATTGAGGACAATTTTAAAAAAGAGAGCAAAGATACTGTAAGTATTAGATTTCATATCATTCTCTGAATATGAACTAACATTATAATCAAATGAATATTGTGTAATATCATCTCTAATTCCTATATTCTTTTACTGCTTGTAGGCTTTAGAAATGATCCATGATATCCGTGCAGCATTTAATGAACTACTTGAAGAAAATGATTGGATGGATGAAGAGACGAAGGCTTTTGCAAGGGAAAAGGTAAAACAATATCTTGTTCCTTAACTGCAGACTAGAAAATTTAATATATGTCGCTCCCATATGGCCAGCTTAAACATGTCGATTAAAGCATGTGATAGTTAAATCATTATTAAATGTTAGTGCATATATCATTGTAAAAAAAAGAACAATGCCAATTTAATTAAAATTATATAAAAACATTCAAGATAATTTGATTTGTTTTACAAAAATTAAATAGATTCCCCACATAACCAATACAAATCCTTGAATTGATCATTGATTTGTTATTTTTTATCATTTATGTCTCATTATTTAATTTCTTTATCTACACATAATTTTATAACTGGCAATTTTGAATGTTACTTACTTTGTGTTATTTGTTACAGGCTAATGCTATGAATGAAAGAATAGGTTATCCAGAATTCATAACAGACTCTGAACTTTTAGATAAGAGGTATGAATTGGTAAGTTATGAATGTGTGCCTTTTATATATCTTTGTTCTGCCGGTGTTTGAATTTTTAATAGAAGGCCAAACTTGATTATTAAATTTTAATGTTAATAGAGACAATTACAGAAAAACATTTTATCCGTCATTATTATAATATTGTCCTTGTTTGATGTCCCCATTGGGAACAATGGCAGAAACTTTAACCTGTGTTATTGTGCATAAATATTTATATGTCCTTTTATAAATTGTAAAAACAAATTATATACATGACATTTGATAGATAATATAACCTATATAATTGTGAATGAAGACAATGAACACGTATTACAACAACATGGCATTTTATAAAATTTAAAAAACAAGCGGTATACATAACATTTAATAGATAGCATAACAATGAATCTCAAATTAAACATGAATGTCTATATACATTTGAGCAGCTGTTGTTATTTGATCCAGAAATTGATCAAAATATCAATGTGGCCTCATTCTTTATGCTTTATTGAAACAAAAGATGATATACGTAAATAACTATGTAATTAATAAAATTTTAGAAAATAATGAAATTATTTAATTACCTTTTATTTAAATTTAAAGTAATGTCCCATATACTCCAGTAAGTGACCATTTTCACAAAATTTACTGTACATTGAATTAATTACCTGTATTATTTTCACAGTTAGACTTTAGCGATGACCAGTACTTCCAGAATGTCTTGCAGCTAGAGAGGGGTGAGGCTATTAAAACAATGAAAAAGTTGAGAGAACCAGTCAAAAAAGATATGTAAGTGTAATTTTTTATAGTTTATTTTGTAATTCATACCAATGTGTAATGACAAATATTGATGAAGCCAATTGATTTGAGTAATATTTAATAGTTGATGAAATAGAAATGCACAGCTTTCTTTTAGAGAAATTTGCTGGTCATGACCTGCTACTAGTGCTACACTGGTAGTTGTAATCTTTTATGGAATATCACTTGAATGTACTTTTATTATAAAAACTGTATTTTGATTTAAACAATATAATATCCATTTAAAAAAGTTTGAACTTACTCTAAAAGGCCTATGTAAGTTCTTTTTTTAAAAATGCATAATGTAAGACTTAGATACAGAGCTGGCTGTTCGTGATCTAATAGTTCAAAAATAGATAATGCAAGATGAATATATTGAAAATTTCACTCAAATTACTTTATTCTGTGCAAAGTTGTCATTTTTTCTAGTTTTGACGAGGTATCTGCATTGATTGTTTATTATCGTAAAACGGTACTTGTTATTCGAGACTTAGCCTCCCTTTTGCATTTGTAAATTAAATAATTAAATGGTCGTAGCGTTCTAATCTACTTGAAATTGGAGCCATCCAATAGCCTAGAGAGTTGATTATAGTCGTGTCATGTTAATAAATGTTTAAATAATACTTTATAAAACATTTAAAGCCTAAAAAAAGACCTGCAATAATGCATCTTTAACTATATTCTTTTACTTTATAGATGGGAACAGGATCCCGCAGTAGTCAATGCATTTTACAACCCTAATACCAATGATATTGGTGAGTACTGACATTTTAATCCCAATACCAATGTTATAACAGAATTTATAACACTTTTACATGGGAGATTATAACCCTGTAAATACCATGATATGATAAATGTGAGTTTATAGCCCAAATACCATGATAAATGCAAGATTACAACCCAAACACCATGATAAATGCGAGTTTATAACCCAAATACCTAGATAAAAGGTGGGTTTATAACCCAAATACCTTGATAAAGGTGAATTTATAACCCAAATACCTTGATAAAGGTGAGTTTATAAACAAAATACCTTCATAAAGATGAGTTTATAACACTAATTTTGGGGACATATAGCCTAAATACCAATGTTATAACAGAATTTATAACCCTTATACACGGGAGAACTGGGGAGATTATATCCCTGCAAATATCATGAAATGTGAGTTTATAGCCTAGATACCATGATAAATGTGAGATTATAACCCAAATACACGATAAATGTGCATTATAACACAATTACCTAGAAAAAGGTGAATTTATAAACCAAATACTTTGATACAGGTAGGTTTATATAAAAATGAGGAGGTTTTTTTTTTTATAAAATTAATACTATTTAAAAATGAAGGTAGAAGTGCTTTGATAATACTATCATGATATAGGTAAGTGTTGCCTATAACCCTAATACCATGACAAAAGTAAGTCTATAACCCTACGGCCTTGGCATAATAAAGGTGAGTTTATAATTTTATAACCCTAATATATGATAAAGGTGAATTTATAACCCAATTACCATGATTATATTTGTGATTCATAGCCTTAATACTAATGAGTTCATAATCCAAATGCCACTAGTATATATGTGTACCTTTGTAATCCTAATTAATACCATGATATTTTTATTCATTAGATAATTATTACTAAAAACCCTTCTCTTTACATTTCTCAGTTTTTCCAGCTGGTATTTTACAACCACTGTTTTATAGTTCTACATTTCCTAAGTAAGTTCATTTTTATTAGAGTAATTTCTTTATTTTTACCAAAAGAAAATTATTATGCAGTGTAAATTAAAATACTACAATAATACATGATGCCGGTAAATGAATTTGATCAAAATTTGAGTCTGACACCATTTCATACATTAAAAGGATGATTTTCTATTTTTGGGGGATTTTGAGTTATGTTGTGTTTATTTTACAGATCTTTAAATTATGGTGGTATTGGTGTAGTTATTGGTCATGAAATAACTCATGGTTTTGATGACAAGGGTTTGTATTTTAGTACATAATGTTTCATTGTAAATTCATGTGTTTCCAATTATATATAATGGAGCCCCTTTAAAACTATGGTTGAACCTAAATAAAGGATAGTGAAAGTAAAAATTTAGAATAATTTCCCTGTATGAGAACTAAGCTCTAAATAATTGGTTAAAAACTTTTTCAGGTCGTCAGTATGATAAAGATGGTAATTTAAAACAATGGTGGAAGAATGAAACTATTGAAGCTTTTAGGAAAAGAGCCGAGTGTATGGTTGAACAGTATTCTAAATATAAACTTGATCAAATAGATTTGCCAGTAGGTTTCAAGTCAGTTTATTCACAAAATATGTCGGTTTATGAATTCTTTTAAATATTAAAAAATTATTGTGTGTTTTGCAGTCTAAATGTTTGCTAAAAGTATGACCATTTCTTCATGAAAATCCACTCCCTCTCCCCACCACCTTGTAGTTTGCACAAAAAATGTCATGATGTCATACTATAATTAATGGTTTCCTGCAACAAGTTCACACAACAAGTAATGTTTTCCAGTGATAAGTTCGCATGCTGTTATACAAGTAATGTTTTCCTGTAACAAGTTTACAGGGCTGTAAGCTTTGGATTTGTTATTGATATTCATATTAATTTTTTACATTTCCATTTTTTGTTTAAAATTACTACTACTGCATTGTAAAGCGCTTTGCCCACAATACTAACAAATTTTTTTATCATACTTTTTGATAGATAGATGGTAGAAATACACAAGGTGAAAATATAGCTGATAATGGTGGATTAAAAGAAGCTTATAGGGTATATTAATGTATATCAATACACAGTTTTAAGTCATTCAGTACTTTTAATTTCCAAAAGTTATAAAAACAATTTAACATTTCAATTATATAGTACTTTAATTTAAAATAATTATGAAAACAATTTTAATATTTGAGTTAAAGAGTATTAAATATCCAAAAATTATTAGAACATTTTATGTAGTGAGTTATAGAGTACTTGAATATCCAAAAATTATAAAAACAATTTTAATGTGTTGAGTTATAGAGTACTTTAATTTCCAAAAATTATAAAAAAAAACATTTTAATGGTTTGAGTATTTTAATTTCCAAAAATTTAAAAAAAACATTTTAATATTTTGAGTTATGTAGTACTTTAGATTCTAAACTTTATAAAAACAATTTTAATGTTTTGGGTTATAGAATACTTTAATTTCCAAAAATTATTGAAACCAAATTTATTTAAAAAATTTAATGTTTTGAGTTATTTCTGATATTTTATTTTTACATATTTGTTTCATTCAAGTTCTATGATTTCAGGCATACCAGAAATGGGTACAGAGTCATGGAGAAGAACTTTTATTGCCAGGTATAGGTTTAAACCACAGACAACTATTCTTTCTCAACTACGCTCAGGTAATTAATTCAGATAATTTCAACTGTGTTCAACTAGATATAACCATCTCGTCCAGGGAAGTCGGTAAGCGCATGTGCGTTGTATCATAAGATCTGTCATTTAGTCATCTGGCATGGTTTCGATTCCCTGGATGTACGTGACAAGGAGTAGGGTTGCCTGTCCAACCTCGTGTGTTTTTTCCGGGTCCTCCGGTTTCCTCCCACTGCTAAAAACCCCTACGCTCAAGTGAATTATTGAAATAAAATTGAACAATATGTTAGTCCCAAAATAATCTAGTTTGTGTCGAGTGGACGTTAAACCCCATTTCTCTCTCTAGGAAAGTCTGTGGACTGTGCAGTCCTGGACACCTGGTACATTAAAAAGGATACAATAAGATATATATCCAGGCAATAATGGTAAATGTTATTGAGCCATACAGGGAGCCCTATAGTATTGTTTGTAAGCTTTATTTTAGGATAAATATATCTTTTAAATTAAGAAAATAATTAAGTGAGACTTTAACATCTCCAGCAAGAATGATTCCTCCAACTTTGTTCTCCTTAATTATCTCATGAAGACAGAAAATCGTTCTATTTCTCTGCGGGTTTTTTTTTTTGTTCTTTATAGATTTGGTGTGGTAAAATGAGAGATGAAGAAGCGTTGCATAAGATACGTACATCAGTTCACAGCCCTGGTCCTGTGCGTGTTCTCGGACCACTTTCTAATTCTGTGGAATTTGCCAAAGCATATCATTGTCCTCTGGGAAGTAGAATGAACCCTATACACAAATGTTCAGTTTGGTGACATGCATGTTCATATAAAATAAGACTGTGGGAAGAGGGTATTTTGGATCTAGGTTTACTAGAAAGTGTTTTGTTATACTATATCAAAATTGTTCAACATGGTATGAACTTATTACATGTATAATGAAATTATTGAAAATCGCTGTGAACAGAAGTAACAGTGCTCAAAATCTAACAAACATTTTGTAAAATGGCACAAGTTTATAGATCAGTCACGTTATTGATTTGTTCATATACAGATATCAAATTGTTCAGGTCCATATACAGATAACAAATTGTTCAGGTCCTTTAATGATGTGCTGTGTACAAATACATTAAAATAGCGTTGTCGTTTCAGTGGGACTGAATTTTTCATATTTAAAACAATGATGTTTTTTTCATGGACTATATGAATGTGTTTTGTAGTTTATCAACATTGTACAGACAAACCATATGTAGCGTTTTAAATATTTATTACTATTTTCATAATAAAATTCAGTACAATGGGATTGTTGCTTGTGATGGTGTAGATGTTCTCCTGAACTGAAATCAGGTGACAGAGAATCGTGTTTTGGGTACATGCTCTTAATCCTGATAAAAATGTGGGTCGAGAAGGATCGTGACCCAATCGAACCAGATCAAAGGAAGTAATTAATGCAACATGCTTTGTCTCCCAAAATTCTTGTCTCTACTTGATTGACACCATTTGTAGGATTGAGGGAATGGAAATAATTTTACTATATATGTATTAAATTAATATGTATTTTCCTCGCCTTTTTATTATATTAGTTTCTTGGAATGATTATCAATTATTTGTCCCTTAATATTATACTAATCATTGATTCCAATATTGTCAATTGTATATTAATATGTCATCAATCAATACAGGGTAACATAACACACAACTAATTAATAATAGTATTAGTTTGCATTATGTAAGAGCTAAATCTGCCTTTTGCAGTTCTTTTTTTTTTTCTTTTTTTTTTTGACTAGATTTGAAAATTTGAATGACAAAATGGACAAACGAGGCTAAGTCTCGGTTAAAAAGTATTGTTGCTAGTAGCAACTTGCTTCGATAATGACAATCCAGGCTATATCTTCATTCATAACATTGCTCAGAATAAAGTAATTTGGATGAAATTTTCAATATATTCATATTTCATTATCTATTTTTTGAACTATTATAGCAGGAACGTCCAGTTCTGTATCTAAATCTTACATAATGCATCTTTATGCTAGCCAATTATTCATTCTCTTCATCAATGCTAATTCCAGATCACATCATTTAGTAAATCCTAAAAGGCTTATTTTAAAGATGTGTTAAAATATTGTAGGCTACTAATGTATGTATGGAGCTTAATCTCATTGATATGGGTCAAAATGAAGTCTTCAGTAGGGTTGATCTGATGGTTTATTAGTTATGAAACAAAAAATATACAATTAAAAGTATGGTTATTACTTCTAGTTTCATTTTTGTCTTGCTATATCCATACAAGACCAGACTGTTATTCTTCAAAATAAATCAACACATAAACTCTGATGAAATAAAGAATATATTTTTGAGCCAGATCTAAGAAGGTTAACCATTTTAAAAAAATTGGTAAGGAATTTAAGAAACACATTAACTTGGTATCATACACTCAGGTCACATACCATTATATTTACATTAGAAGTTATATGATTTTGGCATTCAATTTCCTTTTTCCCATGTGAACCTTACTGTCCACTAAAATAGACCATAGATTGATTTTGTAATTATATGGGTTATAATTCAGCCAGTTATGACTGCTTGGGTGACAGAATTGCCCTAAATATCTCGGAACCCATTGGTCAATTTACATACTGTAAAACATGCACACTTTTCAAAATAACATAGCCTAATGAGTTACCTCTCCGAAATGCTCAATTTGCTTACCTTTAATCTTTTAATGCTAAATCTTCTAGAAGATTAGCTTTCCTATCCCAATACCAGAAAATGGACTGAGACACACAATAGTAGATCAAATTTGACACTAATATTCTAGATAAATAACATATTTACAGAAACAGTATAGCATATAGGTAAATTATATATTTTAGAAGAATAGGATTATGTTTAAACTTTGACACAAACAGTATAGCCTATAGGTAAATTATATATTTCAGAAGAAATAGTATTATATTTGAAGACATGTCTTGTATAAGTTCTGAATTACCATACACTATCTCTTCTAACTAGTAAAGTCCAGTCTTAAAAGAATCAGTATATGTTTGATTATCAAACAGGTAATGTGACATACTAAATCTGGCAACCTATGTTGTTTTTACTTTATTTTTACTTTCTTACAAAGTTTCTCTTCATGTTTACATCCCAAAATGACCTGTTGTTGTTGTTATTTGTTGTTATTATTAGATATATTAATGTTACTTATATGGACTATTTATATTGTTAATATGGTGTGTGTATTATTTCTGGTGGTATTATTACACTATGGTCTTATTACTATTATTACATCGTTTTCTGTAACAATTGTGTATTTTCTAATAAAAGCATGAAACTCTGAGTTGTAAATTGAGTATAAAATGTAATGGTGGTGTCTAGTCGTTTGGTTGGTACCATAAATTCATGTCATGAGTACACATTGGTGGGCACGTTAAGGAACCCCGACAGTTTGAAATTGGAATATGAGTAGGTTGTAGCCCTGCTGTTTAACAAAAATCCCTTCATAGCACATATTTCCGTTTTCACTAGTCCTTTGAATTAGAGGAAAAACCCAGCCACGGGTTGTTTATATGATCGATGAGTGTTTCCTCTTACCAACCACTTGATCTGGGTATTTTCTTCCAAGATTTTTACTAATTTAGGATATGTTTTGCTATAAGGCTGCTATTTTCTTGGAGGATTTTCAAAGTGAATTGTGACCATCACTGTTTAACTTTTAAAAACTAAACAAGTGATTTTTATTCTAAACTAATGTTTAGTATATGATAGAAAGTTGGTAGACATTTTAAATTTTATAGAAAATTGCGAGACGTGGATACAGTACACATAACGTTTAGTATCAATAAAGCAAATGGTTCTGATCTGGCGATATTCAAACTTTTAATATATGTAAAAATATATTTTCAGGCGACCAGGAAAAGCTTATAATTCTTACAATAGCAAATCCCTTTTTAACCCAATTCCAAGAGCCATTGTTCTCTTTAGAAAGATAAGATTTTATTGTCACGAAACATCCATTACAGTCGGGCCACAAACAGTGGCGGCGCCAGCCGTCGGTGATTGGAGGGGCAAAGTCCAAGGTTAAGGGGGCAAAGGCACGAGCTTCAACTAGGGGTAGGGGGCCTCCCCCAGAAAATTTTGAAAAACAGGTTGCCTGAAATGCAGCCTGGCAGTATTTCAGGCACTGATCGATGAGGTAAAGTGTCAAACGAACGGACTTGCGAATCACGACGAAGCCCACTCACGAGCGTCAAAGTAGGGAGTCCTCCCCCAGAAAATTTTGAAAAATAGACTGCCGGAAATGCTGTCTTACAGTATTCCCAGGCACCGATCGTCGAGATAAATAGATCTGACCAGATACCGTCCGTCGCCTGATCACTAGTTTATCCGACTAGAGAACAAAATGTCTAACGAACGGACTTGCGAACCTCAACGAATTCCCCTTGTGAACGCCAAAGTAGCGAGTCCATTGGGGACCTCGCCAAGAAAATTTTGAAAAATAGACTGTCGGAAATGCTCTACAACATGCAAGTTTATGACTGAGTGGGGATGTGGGATTTATTCACTGTAGAAGGTATTGATTACCGAAACGTATCACAAATCCTTTTTTTTTTTTTTATAAAATTATTGGGGGGGGGGGGCAAACAGAGGGCAGACCAGATTAATGGGGGGGGGGTGGGGGGGGCAAATGCCCCCCCTTGCCCCCCCCCCCCCTGGCACCGGCCACTGGCCACAAACCTAAGATCCTTGGCCATTTCTTAGGGAACTAGGTGTGATAGAAGGGGCCCTAGTGAGTATAATATTTGTAGTTTACTTAAAACTACCGCGTCTAACTTCGGGAGAGCTGAACATCCAAGGTGGCGGCCATAATTGATCTGAAATTGAGCTTGACAAACATTGTTGGTAATATGACCTGTGCAATATATCATTTTTTAATGTTTGGTTGGTCACTGAACTAATTTTGGACAGTTTCCGATTCATCGAACAAACGGTTGATCTAAAATGGCGGCCAAAAAATCCAAAATGGCGACAGAAATTGGCACTAGAAAAATTCTTTTAATAACAATACCAACATACACGTGTGCTATATCGTTCAATGGGGTTTTGGGGACGGAAAATACGGATATGTGTATTTCAAGCTGATAGAACTAAGTCAAAAGGAGACTACAGACCTACACATAATAAAAACAACCATAAATTGTTCCAGACGTCAACGAATCTTTTCCGTTGTATATTGCAGCTATCATAATACATTATAATACATCATATAATAACGTATTCTGCTGTATGACTCAAAAATATGACAAATAGTCTCTCGCACTTGGACAATCAGATTGAGAAGTATTGTAATTTTGGGAGTTATCGACATAGGGTTTCGGATTGTTCCCCGGGCAATGGTCTCGGATCTGCAGGGGCTGTGTCCCGAATACAAGAACAGCATACAATATAAACAAGTACATAAATAACGCTCAATAACAATATGACAAATAATAATATATATTTACAAACAAATGATAATTTTAATCTAGCCTACATTTACTAACAACACAAACCGTATACATGTATGTATGTGAATATACTTCTGAAAGTGTTTTTGATTTCCTTTCACGAATTACAAGATTTTCAGATGCCTTATTAGCTTTTTTAATACTGAGACTGTCGGAATCCGAACATTTTTTGGATTTTTTGATTGTTAGGTGTACACCCAATGGCATTCAACGGGTCACACACATTAGCACGCCCGCCATTCCAGTTAAAAACTGCAATGATAACTGGTGTTTCTAACGATGTTTTACTTATACATGTAGTTTACTGGCATATTTCCATTCTAAAGAATGTAGACTTTCATTAGCATTTTGAGTTAATTTAAGTTGACATCTTTCCAAAAGTTCTTCATTAGTCAAATGTTTGAAAAGTTTTATAAAATGTTCGCATATATCTTTTGGTAATGGTTGGGAGGGAGAGGGGTGGCGTGTTTCTTACAGGGTCTATGTCTAGTTCCTGAGCTTGGAGGTAGAAACACCATGATTTCTCACACCTATGCCATAACATTTTAGCTATGACAGTTTCCATCACACCAGAAGATCCAGCAAAGGACTCCTCACATTCATGTGTTATAACCATGTGTCATGTCAAGTCCATTTAACTTGTCTCCATATACCCGGCAACCATAACAACTTATTATATGATAAGCCATCACAGGACCAGTTAAAACATGAATAACAAAGCCGCATCCCAGCACAATCTGATTAAAATACAGATCTATATTTCGTTTCGTTTTTTATACTTTCGATGGCCTACACTACATGAAGATCTGACATGTTATAGCGATAGGTCACGTCAGGGGTCAAAAGACCGACTTTTAACCTATGACGTCAGACATTTGATTAACCAATCAGCATCGATGTTACTAGTGGATTACCCACAGTTCCGGGTAAAAAAAGGTCAAACATTCGATTCGACAGACCATTTGATTGGCTGGCCCCTCATTTCAAGCGGAACACGAGTTAAATAACAAGTCTTCCAGATCCAAGTGTAGTAAAGACAAGTAAAACGAAATTTTGAACTATAAGAACGAAACGAAATAGGATCTGTGTTTTAACCAGATTGCATCCCAACAGTGAGGAATATCCACGTTTCTGCCAAGAACCATCATAGATTACTAATAAAATTTGTAAATTGTCTGAATTCCCTAATTCTATTTCAACCATTACCTCACGAACAATTTTTCGAGCGATGTCAAAATTTACTGATTGCAATTTACCATGCAATTTCTTTGAAATATTATTATCATATGTCGTGTGATGTAAACCTCCAAAAAACCCTGCATCATTGTTATCAAGGGGGCGGAGTGAACCAATGCCTATGTCCTTTCAGGCAATAACTATCCTGAGATTAAAATATCAAAAGGATGTCGGGAACTAGGACTAGGTGTTAATTTATTTGCTTCGGTCTGATTACAATCAATTCTAAATGTGTAGTAATGTTGAAATAATTTACTTCAACTTCTACCCACAACACTGTAAAGCGCGTTGAGATATTATTTGTATATTGTAATGCGCTATATAAGAATAAATTATTATTATTTATTAAGTCCCGGACTCGACCATACGTTTCTTTCAAATGGACAAGAGGGACAATTTTAACAAACTTTAGTTGCGTATCCATTAGTTCTATCAAATTGATGCCAATTTTCAACAGGTATTTCAGAATTAGTTTTAGAATTGTTGTTTCTTTTTCTTCTAAAAGATAGTTAAAAGTCCCAAGAAATTTTTGGGGTCATTTGTTTCCAGCTCACAATACACCGGAATATGTACACGAAAATCAAACGGGTGCCAAGCATAGTTGTTTTATGGGGGCCTTGGATGGCCGAATCTTTAGCGCGTGCGCGTTGTATCACAAGGTCTGTGAATGAGTCAGCTGGCGTTGTTTCGATTTCCCGGTTGTGCGTGACAAGGAGTAGGGTCGCTTGTTCAACCTTGTGGGTTTTCTCCGGGTTCTCCGGTTTCCCCCCACTGCTAAAGATCCCTACACGCAAGTGAATTAATCAAATAAAATTGAACCATGTGTTAGTCCCGAAATGATCTAGTTTGTGTCGAGTGGGCGTTAAACTCTCTCTCTTTTAAGACCACAGACTTTCAAAATTACTACATGGTCCACAAATTATTCAAATCGATCAATTTTTACTTATTAAATTATGTTTCTACACGGCCATCTTTATATCTCTTAGAAAAAAATAGTAATAAAACTTCTGCTATTTTCTCTACAAGGCAACGCATTCTTCATGGGGTCTTTTCATACTCTACAGGGTCCCTAATTATAACACAATAGAAAATACTAGCGAAAGAGTCGGACATTTCGGACTAAGCAGAAAGATATCAAGCCCAATAATTGACGAGATAGACATGAGATTAAATCTTTTATATACATGTATATTATGTACAAAGCACTCTTTATACGGATATATAGAAAGCTTGATAAAGTAACTATGTCACCACTTTTACTGTTTTCTTAAGTGTTTACATTAGCAACCACAGAAAAATTTGGGTTATCAGACGTTAGACCGTGTTATGTGTAAAATCAAAATGTCGTATTTGATATCGCTTTCGATACTTGTATCTGTATTCTCAGGTTTGTTTTCTGTTGGTTTTTTTTTTTACTTTCATTTATTAATCAACCGGACAAATAAAGAACAAAGGGAACTATGTCGTTACTTATGTTTGCAGCTCTTAATTCTTAGAATGTCTTTAATTAAGGTACTTAAAGTCTCCGACTTGAAAATACCGCTCAGATCAACTTAAATAAAATTGGATTCAACAAGACTTCAAAGGGCACAAAAAACTGATAAAGATGTAGAGTTTTCTTGATTTTGTAGAAGATCCTAACAGTTAAAGCCGGAGATAAATGGAGGTCTAATTTTTATTTAGACTGGTGTATTGTGGTGTCATGTGATGATTTATTTGATAATAATATTAAATGAATGTTATTTTATTAATGAAGGTTGTTATGCTGGATCTTACTGTTACACCAGTTATGGATTCTCTTATTATACTTACTGCACTTATGGCTGTTGTTTCGGTGGTTGTTGTTCCTTCAGGTAAATAATAGATATTCAAATAGTAGTTTTTTGTTTCCCGGTGGTGTCGATGGATTAAAAGATTAAAAAGGTAAATGTTCACCGGATTAAAATCACCATTTATATCTGAATGATTTATCTTATGTTAACAAATTTTTATTCAGAAAACGTTTTATTTTTTACATAAATCTTAGAAAAGAAATTACATTTGGACGCATGCATGTAAGATGAAGCGAAACCGTATCCAGAGATTCTAGTTTCAATTACGGGTACATTGTCATGTCTGATAGTAAATATGACATGATTTAGCACCAACTCACCTATAATGGCTTTCCAGTCCAAATCCCCTAAAGGGCACTATAATGGCAATTCTGTTCAACGTGCCTGTGGAAAAGGTGACGTATTCTGATCCGGGCTTGCAAATGACTAGCCTTTTGAATCAGAACCCATGATTTACGGACCCAAGAATACCAAATAACATAGTCAACTATTATAATTTTTGTATATATTATTATGTTCTATTTTAGTATCGGGGCAATTGTTGGAATAGTAATTGCGTGTATAACTGGATTCGTAATTCTAGTTGTGGTTTGTATTGCTTTGAATAAAAAGAAGACTCGAGGTCGGGTGATAGTGGCACCTAGTACTACTAACGTACATCATGTATCACCTGGTTATGGTAAGTACATATACTATGGCGTGTAAGGCTGATTCTAGGTACACTGGGTTTTAAAAATGAATACCCTTTCACAATTTATGCTGCTTTAAAACTTGCAATATTCATTCATTATTTGGTTTTAATTGTGTCAATGTTACGTATATGTCCACCCAGTATGACAGTCAATCATTTCAAATGACAATAAATACAGAATAATCGGACATATTTCATGCACATCTAAGATTTACATAGAAAGCTGGTTGTTCTTGCCACAATAGCTGTAAAATAGATTGAATATATTGAAAACTTTAGTCAAAATACTTTATTATGAGCGAAGTTATCTCGATTGCCAAATACCACAATCTGATTAAAATACAGATCTATATTCCGTTTCGTTTTTTATACTTTCGATGGCCTACCCCGCGTCAGGGGTCATTCAAGCAGCTTTTGACCGTATGACGTCAGTCGATTAACAGATCAGGGCTAAATCAATTTTTCTCAGTTAGCGAGATTGTTGGTTAGGTTTAAGAATTTGGGGGAGAGGTTAAGTCTCCACATAAGCACTGACCTAGGATGATGATCGTTTAGCACTAACCACAAATCAGCGCAAATGTTTCAAGTGGGATACCCACAGTTCCGTGCACCCCATATCAAGAATTATCCGTAACAGACCGGTTCATTGGCTAATCTCTTACATCGCAACCAGAACGCGGTTTATATAACACCTCTTCCAGATTCTAATGCAGTAAAGACAAGTAAAACGAAAATTTGAACTATAAAAAACGATTGCCAAGTACCATTACGGTAATTTTAACGTTTAACGAAGATATGTCAGACATTGTCTTATCCGGTCAATATCTCACCCACCCGATGATCTAGACACTTGATTACGGGCGTGTCATGGGAATAAATATCTAAATAAAAATTTATATAACATTTGAATCCAAAAATAAAAGTGCGGAAATAGTCAATTTTAGTTTTTCCATAATTCATCTTTTATGCTACCGTTATCTTATTTCGTAAATTTACATCTGTTTTCTTTAAGGCCAACAACCTATGATGACATATAATACAATGCCAGGACAATATCCACAAGCACCTCCACCTTATACTTACACCAACCCTGCTTATCCTCCACAAAAAGATGGACAACAACAACAGCCACCACCACAAAATTATGCTGCACCACCCGGAACGGTACCGCAACCACAAGTGGCCCCTGTGGGATTCGAAGAAAACGGAGGACCAACAGCACCAACAGTACCACCACAACAACCACAACAAACCCAAGGTCCACCTAATCCATTTAGTGCTTATGCCAATAATAAATCTTAAAATAGAAAATAGAAGATTGAGTATAACAGAAACAAAACATTTGATCATTAAATGAATGAATTTTAACCATTAGATTCTTAAGATTACTGAAATACTCTATCTTATATAACAGAAACTCCCGGTGTGTTCTCTTCAATGACATTTACTCAGTACATTCATGTAAGACCTGTGATCCGACATCCATTGTTATTTGCGAGAAGACGTATAGAAGCTTTGGTTGATCATTTTGTATTATACATGTACATTGGATTGTAGATGCAATAAAGCATAATTTAAAATTATCTGTGTTTTATTGTACAGTTATCCTGCATTGACCAATATATTTCATGTGACCATAGTTTTACGAAACCAATGGGCGTGGTGATTGATTCGGTGATAGCCGAACATTTTATAAGCTAAAAATATATAATGGTTGAATATTCCTAAATATAATGTTTTTTAGTTGTTTGGGTTACTGTTTTGGCCTAAAATCAAACTCAGAATTTCGGGAACTGTTCAAAGTCACAATTTCCCTTTGTGTAAAATACACTCATGTCTCTCCCTTCCTGTTCAGACGAGAATAGGTGATCCCTACCCTGCTTGATACTCCCTCTGTGTCGAGGGTAAGGACTAAGGCTAGTAAATCTCCCCCTAATGATAAATCCGTGACATTTCTTAGCTTATAATATTATGTTTTTGAACATTCCAATGATCTTAATCTTTATAACCAATCATCTGATAAAAATATTGAAATCTTGGTAGATTGGAATACGCGGAGGAAGTATACAAGACCACAAGAACGCTATTCACAATTTAAGTCCTAAACCTGTAACCATTTGGTCACAAACCCTAATCCTTGCGCCAGATCCTGCTTACCCAACGACCTTATTGGCATAATAGATTGACCTGTGTTTATCGAGTCTTTTTGGAGGGCAAACAATCTGGGAAGTTCTATTGTTAACGCCTATTAGTCAATTTAATAGCGAAAGAACACATTGATCGGGTCATGCTTTAGTTGACTTTCATTGACTTTTTGATTAATCATAGCGTGCAAAATGCTACATCATCCAAGTGTTATTCCTACAGTCACAAGGAAGTCACTCATGTCGCTTACTCATTATCAGGGGGTTCGGTGTTGGGTTCCTGTGTTGAAATTTGATGAATAATAGGTAGAAACGCCACTGCCTGTCCAAAGTTTCCCACATAATACACCGTAAGTTGTAAACCCGTCTTTATAGCTCGTCTGGGTGCAAAAAACAAGAACGTTAATCCACATTCAATTGCCATGTACACTATTACTGTTCCTTTCTACGTGAAATAATAAATGGCTTAAAAAGTGCTATTTCACGTATATTGTTGTAAATAAATATCAGACAATATGCTGTATGATAAGTTAATAGTCTTTATGCCTTTAAATATAAATCAGCTTATAATTTATTACGATGACGTTTTTATTGGCTGTATATTATGTTATTGATAAAGCTGATCTATATGCTGTCTATGTATATCATGAAGGAAGGTTTATCGTCAGATATCAGTTTATAGATTTATGTATCAAAACACTGGCTATGGAGACAAGAGATTTATTTTTTAAAATTTAGAGCTGTTTTTGTGCATCGTAATAATTGTTCGAAGGGAAAGTAGATAAAAGGACATTGCAGTTAGAATAATGTCGTATCTGACCTTACTCACCATATTCTTACCTTTAATCTCAGGTAAGTAAATCAATTAACATATTTTCCAAATTACAATTAGAATATCGTTCTTCTTCTTTTTCTTCTTCTTCTTCCGGGACTTTACCTAGGATGATATCACAAAGAAATATATCATACGAAACTTAAAAGAAAAGCTGATCGTGAATGAGAGGCTAGACCTTTTGAGATACAGTGCCGGGCGTACTGTTTGAAGGTCGAAAGGGGATGTGGATTCATATTCTAAATCATTCACAGATCTCGTGATTGTTAGAAACATCTAAATTTTCCCTATCGTATTAAACTATATTTTGAAATACTGCTCAATCAGTAATCAATGGTGGATGGGGGCAGAGCTCACACTGGCTTTCTTTTTTTTCCGCCAAAATGGATCACAATTTTTATATAAAAAATTGATGTTATTTTTTTTCCGCCAACTTGAATATTTTATCCGCCAAAAATTTATGATAAAAAAAAACATATATTGTCAAAGTGTAAAACAATTTTATTTTGCATCTATTAAAGTATCATACACAATTTACAAAAATTTATTTCGGATCTATTATTTAATTATCATACACAATTTACAAAATCCTCCTTTGCTTTACATATAGGCCAATTGATAAATGACTTTTGAAGATCTGGTTGATTTTTAGTTAGAGTGATGGACATTAAATTTGATAAAGTATCTAGTTTTAAACATGTTTTAAATAATTCCTTGATGACCCAATATCTGAAACACAGTCATTAATGTTAAGATGAATTGTTTGAAAATAATTACCCAATGACAGATCTACATCACAATTTACATCAAATAATTTACACAATTTATTTAGTACTACACTATCCCCTTTTCATCAAATCTGCATTCCAAATTATTTACAACATTCCTGACAAATTACATCCCTATCACCCTAGAATCTTCCCTTTGTTTTTCCCATCCCTAATCTTTTGTTCTTTGTACCAGAAATGTGCCGCTCCCAATGAGTCGACACCAACTACTCTAATAAATTTAAAACATTAATACTATAATTCCCTGCTTCAATGTCTTGTAGCTGAGAAATAGTTGAAGCCAATAATGGATTAACATTAGAAAAAACAATGTCACTCCTCTGATAACATTTCGACAATCTACAGAGTATTGGTCCAAAAATTTAAAGCAAGTTATGGATTTCAACAAACCAACATTTTTTGGAGAATTATCTTCTTATAACACCGATATTAGACTTGATAGTTTCTCGGTAATGCATTTACAGATCCCTCAAATAATAGCCACCTCGTATTTGATATTTGTTTAATTGGGTACTAGAATCAGCTTTAACCGCAGCAAGAATATCCTGGACAGGTTTTTAGGTGAATTTGAAAAATATTTGTAGATGCAATTAACCAGTTCCTGATATTTTATGAGATATGGTATAGAATCTGCAGCACCTGATGAACATAGAGCAAGTCTATGGGCAATACAATGGGTACTTAACAACCCCGGAACCAGTTCCTTTAATCTTGTCGTCAACCCACTCTTACTACCAACCATAACTGCAGCACCATCACCATCAGTAGTAATTCCACACATTTTCTTCACATCAAGATTATTTTCGGCAGTTGCACCATCTGAAAGTTTTCTGATCCCCAAAAAGTCTGTCCTAACATTATTACAAAATATATATCTCACATACACTATCAAATCTTGATCCACTCGGTTGATTCATCTAATAAAATACTATAATATGGTGATTGACTCAAGTGTTGGCGAAGATCTTCACGTACTGTGTCTGCTAATGCTTTATGAAATTCTTGAATACTGCTGTTATGTGTATAAGATGTGTGTTTATCTACTAGCAAGTCTTTGAATTGTTCTGCACCCTGAAAAACATAACAGAAAAAAATCATGGGGGTGACAGATTGGTCTCTGAAATTGAAAGCAATATGGTAAGAGACAAGCAGTTTATGTAACGAGAGTAGAGGATTTTTGTGCATTTTTGCCCTTTTTTCTTTATTCTTCTGTGTTGTATGTATATAAGATACAACATATGGGACTCTAATCTTTTAAATTCAATAGAGCACAGATCCGGATTACGAATGCAGGGAGACCCCCTACTGGTAATTCAAACACTGACTCTTCCATCAAAATGATTAATTGTGTGCGTTAACAAGAAATTCAACATTACTATAGAAAATATTGACCGTAAATACTACACAGCATAGATGAACGTGGCACAATTCACCACTGATAAGAATGCATTTTATTTTCGATTTTATGTGTTCCTCAATATTGTGTGTGCTTTGTGACATGGGACGCCAACAACAATTGTACTGCCCCTCTCTTTCGGCATTCCATTATTGGAAGGTTTACTCTGTGGTCAGTGGCGGACATATAGGGTATTTGATTAGGGTGTCACTGTCAATGGTGATTTGTGGCACATATTTGGACTCAAATATAACATTCAATTTCATAAGCTACAACCTCACTATAATATATAATTAATGTAATTTTAAAACATATGACAATAACTGTGAAGTAGGTTTCGTCACATGTCAACTGACAAAAACTCAAACTTACACGTTTCATAGAGTTATGATTGAATTTTCTATACTGTAAGTAGGTGGAGTGGGGGTGTCGAGTGATGCATTCACCCGTGTCATTACTGTCAGTGGTTAGAAGGTCCAAAAGTTTGTTGAACCTGTGTATATTTTATTTCAGACTGTCGCGGTGAAAATTGTAGTATTGGTGTTAATAGTTGTATACATGGTTGTTGTGGCTCTATTTGTTGTCCTAGGTACTTCTATTTTCTATATTATCATAATTCAATAAATCATACTTCTATCATCAAATATGAAGGAACAAAAATCCTCGTATTGCGATCGATCCAACGTGTACACAGTTTAAATTTTCTGTTTTCGGAAATGATATGTAAATAACAGGGTTCATGAATATCGACAATTTAGCCATTTCTGCCTATCATTAGTTCCATTAAGTGTTTTGTAACTCCGGTATACCAGTTACTTGAAGACAAGCACGCACAACCCGGTAGAAAAATTCATTATTTTATTTTCATAAATATTTTGTTCTTGCGAGGGATTTATTTCTGAAGTCACACTGGGGGATTTGCCTGTGCGAGTGTAAACAAACCTTGAAGAATGGGTTGGCTTGTATGGAAAAAATAACAGAATTAATATTACTTTATTCATCTAAGACCAAACGGTTGCTCCTATTTATTTTAAACCATGGTGTATCATTTAAGTAGCCATATATCCTGTTAGAATTAATAAAATTTAGTGAGTTTTGGCGCCAAAACCTTTTAAATAAAAGTAGGCCCTAGTTTTGATTGTATACGTTTATATGGTCTCAGACTCTATTTTTAACCATTAGTCTGTCATTTGGACTTTAAATACGCCAATTACTTCAGAAATTCAAACATTATGCCTCGTTAGATGAGCCATTTCTAATTCTGTACATTATTATCCTTGGAAAATGCCATTTTGGTTGTCAATTTTTCAAACTTTGTATTTAAGACATGTCTGAGTTTGTAAGCTACGGCAAAATGTAGATATCTTTATGGGACTGTTTTCTGAATTGCTACGTTAACCCAATCTGAAGGAGTAATTGTCTTCATTTTATTTTTTCATAAAAATGAGATAATCATAAGATTCTGTATGTTCAAGTATATTTAAATGATTATCCTATTATGTTCTAATTACAGTGTAGGTGCAGTAACAGCTATTGTTATATCTTTTATAATAGCTGTAGTGATATTTGTTATTACCTGTACTTGTTACCTGAAATCAGGGAGAAGGAAAGCGGTGATAGATCCACGTTACTCAAAGGTTTCAAATGTATACACAATTTATGGTATGTATTTAGGCACCTTCGTTTTGATTTGTCAGTTATATGTGTTTATACCAAAACTTTCATCAGAGCAACAGATTGCATCCAGTATATTCTTTATATGACATCCTATTAGTGTATATATATTTTGTTTTATCTTTGATAGGTTCACCGCCATCATTCACTTCTCTGTTTCCTGGTGAATTTAAGCCGAAAAATTTGTTACATTCAGGTCCGCATATATTAATCGATGAACCGACTGAAAGTCATGGTGGACCAGATACACCAGCTGTCAGTACCGCACTGGATAATAGATCAGAAGTATCAGCTCCGGTACTTAACCAACCAGAAACTTCAAACTGTAACAAGTTCCCAACACAAGCGAGTCGGACAGCAACGTATGATGAAATGTCCACGCCGCAAACCATTTTCGCATTAGAGGATAGATCAACATCACCACCAGAGGTAGATGAGCTGCCACAAAAATCCTGATAGATCCTATGCATCATTGCAACAGATGGACACCAACGATATACAAGTAGATTTGTCATGTAGATAAAGAACAAATCAAAACATGTCTTGGATATCTGGTTTTAGGGTCGGTAGCTTGCCGTATAATGATTATCTCATCAATGTTGGACACGTCCTTCAATAATGAACGTTATATGGACCAATTGCGTTCATAATGACAGGGATGCATATAACCCAAGCCGTGAACATAATATTGTCTGTTCACGTAATTTGGCTACACAGTGTTGGTGGGGTGTTCAAATTAGACTGTTTGCAAACTTTGAGACCCGTCAGCCAAACCCATCATCGAGATATAGACTTAACTGTTAGTTTAGGAGTCAAATACATTTGATCCCCCCCCCCCAAAGCCCCTCTCTTATATAATGACCTACACCCAGGGTTGTAGACAGCTGGGTGGAGTGAGTGTGACGGTGTTTTGAGATTTTGGAATGGGATATTGAAAGGAAAGATGTGCGGTAAGATCTGGCTCTCCGAGTTCACAAAACTTAAGTTCAGAATTTACTCAACTTTCAATCACTGTTTCTGAGAAATATCTTTGATCCAGAAACACAAAACATTGCACATAGTTTCTTATTGATGTATTTGATACATTAAAACAACAAAAGTTTTATAAAAGGCTATATTTTAAGATAATGCGAACACTTTTGAGTAAATTCTTAACTTAAGTCTGAGAATGCTTTGTGAACTCGGGGCCTGATGTTGTTGGTAGCCAAAACCTTACAATGACAGTCATTTTATTTTAATTAGTAACTTGAATAATATAGGCTATAGCTATTAATAAAATGACTCTCTATTAACTATAATCTTGGTTGGGTTTTTTTTCATATTTAAAGATATTTGCGTGGTAAATTCGTCCTGTCTCATCCAATAAACTATAACTGCTTTCCCTTTTTTCTCCAAATCTTTGTTACGGGTCATTCGCAGCATAGATCACTAACGCAGAATTCTATTTGGGATGTCTTTAACCCGTTCTGACACTAACATTGGCCTCTATAACATTAGTAACCTTGTTTAATAACCCCCGCACAAGCACCCACCGAGAAAGTTATTTTTAGTCTTTCTCTCCCTTTCCCTTTTCCCCCCCTTTTGCATAGTGATTTTTGTTGAGTTTTTGGTGTAGAATCGAAGAAAAGGGTTGGAAAATACATTTTCTGTCAGGGTTTGGTGAATATTTATAATTTTCAGGCGGAAGGATACAAGAGTTGAGAGGTTGGTTAGGTTGAAATGTAGGGAGGAAAATTGCCATGTTTTTGTCTCTACTTCCAGCTTGTGTATATCTCAAGTTTTTCATGAAGAACCCCATACGGGCTTTTGGGCAAGGGGTTGCCACATGTTGCTCCATATGTGGTACAATGCGTTCTACCCAAAGAAAATTTGGGAAAAAGTTAGAGCCGGTCTGAGAGACGAGAATTAACATTAAAGTCAATGGGGAAATCGTTAGTTATCTGTGGCCCCCTATACTTTGGCACCAAGAAATAGACATAAATGGATAGTAATGCATATAAAACGTATTATGAATGTATATAAACTGAATCGCATTCAATCGTTTCTGTTTTTAATGTAATTTCTAATCAGTTATGTTCGGCGAAATACGCGAAGAGTGCAAATTGAATGGCAGTCTTTGGCGTCTGTTTATTCCAGTCCACATCGGTAGTATTCTCCTGTGGGGTATGTTTAGCCTCGTTCATCGGGCTCGAAAGCATTTTGGGACGTGATTCGTGCGCTAATTATAAACTGTTCATTAAAATTTGGTCTTATATATTGGATATCAGAAGTCCATCTTTTGACGGTTATAATAACACCAATATTGATTTAAATTGACCAATAAGTCGTATTTGCAATGACGAAGACTGGTTGATATTGAGTTTGCGACTTGCCTCCTTTAAATCTAGCAATCTGGGTATAAATTCAACATGATCAAGCCTGGAAAAGAAATCACGGTTGAACCCACCATTTTTGTTGCTGATTATCAAGGTAGTCTTTACGCATGGGCACGCTGGGTAGTTGCCCAGGGGTTCAATGTTTGCCTGTACAACATGTTTTTTAATGTCTACACACTGATTTTAATGGAAATACCAATACAATAAATATATGTTTAATTTTAACGACTCATTAGATTTTTTTAAGTGGATGTCTTGAGGGGCACCTGAGCACTGCGTTGCCCGGCGTGGCCTCGGTTAACTATGGCCCATGAAGAACAGTCTGACATTGTTAATGCAAGGTTATGAATCGTAAGAAAATATGGTTTCCTTTTATAGACACCCGCGTTAAAGATAAAATCAGTGCATGTCTCGCTTGTCAATAAAAAAACCAGGGAATCCAGCGAAGAACTTCTATTGATGTCAAAACTGTCCCTTGGTCCGTGTAAAAAAGAATCAACCGATTTTTATATTCTGTTATTGGTTCTAATCGGTGACATTTCGCAATTTCCTGAAGTTGAAATTATCTTTTTAACAAGCGCCGATTTTCATATTTTTTGCACGAAACATCAGATTCCAGGCAATACTCGACATTGATTTTGAAGCCGTTCCAAAATATACGATATTTAATTTTGAAGCCGTTCCAAAATTTACTATACAACTTCGAATTTATTAGAAATATAATTTCAATGTAATCATTATATTAATGAGAAAAAATAATCCCACAGAAATAAACGAATAAAATATTTATGGACTTTGCGTAGACCGAGTGTGTGTGAAATAGCTTTATTTAACGTCCGCTTCCCCCGAAGTGATATCGCAGACAAGCTGAGTATAAAGGGGCATCTAAAATATATTGTTAGAGATGGATTAAATAAAGGTCAAAATTCAATTTTTTGATCATATACGGAGGTTGTATAAAAGTAAAAATTGAATTGTTTTGATATACGGATTGTTTAATTAAAAGTACAATTTTTTAATTTATTTCATAGTTGACTGAGTGTTATTGTATTAAAACTGTATTTGTTTATTTCACAATTTCAAAAAAAAATCATACACAGTTACCTCCCCTGATCATTCGTCACACGAAACATCTTCAGTGAATGATGTAAAATTAATATTATTTTGTATCTTCTTGCGACAACATAAGCTTAGTTCTGTTATAGCCTCTATAATTACACACACATGAACAATTTCCCTCTAATCTTCAGGATCTTGGGTCGACGGCGATCCATTTTAGAATAAACGCATAAGGCATAGTGAAATCGAGTATGATCGACATGAATCTTGAACAATGTCTGTTTTTGAATTAACGACATAATGGTCGGTTCTTGGTCCATTGTACGGCTGCACTTCTTCGTAGTCAGTATGTGCACAAAACTTTTATGTTATGCACATTTTATTTCTGTGACAACAATAGATGTGCCAGGCCCGTAGCTAGCCCAAAATTGTTCGGGGAGGGGGAGGGGCAAAGGCTTCTGGGGGCGCAGATATATCTTCACTTGACGGTCCATGGCGAACGGTACCGTGGACACGCCTCCCTTCGGAGAAATGTCTAGGATGCTCTCCCCCCAGGAAATTTTTGAAAATGGGGTTTGCACCTGAAAATGACGGAAAATTTCAATTTTGAGGCTGAATTTGTGATATTGGCGTATTATATTTTGATATGAATATTAAAAATTTGAAGGGGGGAACACGACTTTAACGTACCTGTAATAATTTATGAGAAAAACGAAAAGTTCGGAATCGGGTTAGAGTGCGACTTGTTTGAATATTGAAGATAATCACGCCGTGGGGTGCCTAACCAATCTCACTCGGCATTATGGGTGCCCCGCCAATAATATTATGGGCGTCCGTGATCTCGCCGTGGGCTGCTCACCAAAAATGAGGCTTTATTTTCCCGACCGTAAAAGTACATTTGTAAAAGAAAAAATACAAGCTATCAGAGGATTCAAACTATTAGTTACCCTTGATAATACGAAGATGACCATTTATGTATGTACGTATACCTATTATATAGATTAGTTGTGATCTATTGAATATATTAGTATACTTTACATATCTTTGTGTATTGTCAATAATATAACAATAGTCGGTATTAACAAGTAACATGTCTAGTCACAACTATCAAAATATATAGGTGTATACACAAACTAGCAGATTAAATACTGAGGTTACAGAGTCACCATGTTAAATTATATGATTATACATATTATTACATTACTTAATGTTATATCAGGTAAGAATGATGTGTATGTTATAAAACTGGTATAATTGTACATTATTAATTGCTTACAGTCTTTACGTGATCAATTAATATTATTATTTTCATTTTTTTAAAAAGCGGATTTGACAGGGGGTTCTGTTCGTTTTAGTTAAACGATAAATGAAAATATTGATTCACATTATGGTTTAAGATTGAACTAAATTAGCAAAGTCATCTCGTGTAGTACATTTTTGAAGGGTGTTTGTATTAGACGAAGAACTGTGGAATGGAATGGCGTTTAACGTCTCGTAAACAAGACACAATACATTTTGATTTCAATGGTTATATTGCGACGGGGAATTTTTACAGGCTAGCGGCGTTTCGAATTTCAAATGCCACAGGTTTTTTTTAAATAGTACATGGGTGGATCTCCGTTTTCCGTCCTGTCAGAGAACAGCTACACTAGCCAGAATCGGACTTAAAGTTCTTCTCAGTCTTCTACCGTAATATAATCTTGTCGAGAGGTGAGTTCCATACCATCACCGCGACCCGAAAAGGAATATTAACAATTTCGTCATCCATTGCTAGAAAATATCTTGTTTGTTGTATTATATTACGCCCACATTTTCATGTGGACGTATACTGTCGTCGCCCCTGTCCGTCCACAATTTGTTTGTGGACACTCGTCAGGTCACAATTTGTATCCGATTTTGACGAAACTTGAAATATAGGTTCATCTCCAAGATCTCGGTTCTTTTCGTTATTGGCATGTATCGGACCGTAACTTTATTGATTATGACCCCTGATTTTACGAAAACCTTGTGGAGAGTCTAGAGTTCAGAATTTTTATCCGATTTTAATGAAACTAGAAATGAATGCTTATAACCCCACGATCTCGGTTCCTGTCGATATTCACGCATATCGGACCGTAACTTACTAGATTATGCCCCCTGATTGTACGAGAAATCTCGTTTTTAGCTTGTGGTCCATCTAGAGATCACAATTTTAATCTGATTTAAAAAAAAAACCACGTGTGAATATATCGCCGCTACACCATAATGATGATTAAGTTCGAATTTCGTGGAAAATCGGATCCTAACTTCCTGGATTATGGCCTTTAATTTAAAGCTTATTCTCTGTCCATCTTTATCAAAATGCGGGCGTATCTTGCATGGTAACCGCTTGGTTTTTTTATTGTTTCAGAAATTGAAAGTATCACATGCAGGCGTTATTCATCTTCTTTCGACTATAAATATTTCTATTGTTCATATCGATGTTGTGATTATATTTCTACCAAATATTGCTGTGAAAAAAATAATTCCGATAATAATGGGAGGTGAGTCAGGGGTCATTTTTAATGTTAACATTATTATTATGTCACTGTGTAGAGTTCTATACTCTTTTAAAAAGCGATATTTGATTAATTTCGGGGCTTATCTTAATTTCATTGTATCACCTTATCCTGTAAATAAATTTGGCACCAAAATATTGCCGATATCAAACTTTGCCGACAACAAAATTAATTAGTGTAATATTTATATTGATTCCGCTAGTAATATTTTAAAGAAATGTTGCTGCCGAGTATATAATTATTTGCGTGGCTATAGTTGAGAAAAGGTGTTAAATAAACCCAAACAAAGTTATTCTTACCCAGATTGCTCAGGCGCCTTTAAAATGTTTAGAGAAAACGGTGAAATTTTTAATTAAGGCATTAAAAGCTCACAATTTAAATGTTAGGGTATTTTATAAGAAGATGTACATACTATATATACGATTAGTGTCATCTTATCAAATATATCCACCACTTTTCGGAATACTGGGTAATAATGACAACTGTTTAATTTAAAACTACTAAACCTCCCCGAATTGGGTCTGACCATATTGTCGATTTCATTAGATTTTATATATTGATTTGCTGTGTGGGGTGGTAATATTTATTCTTTGAAAAAATTTTATTTACGTTCATATTATACGGTGCAATGAACTTATTTCACTGAATGTTCAACCTCGCGACAATCATTAAAGTGGTTATGACAAAGGTCTGATGTACATACATCATGCATTGTTAGAAGCGGTTTATATTCGTACAGTAATTAACATCCATGCGATATTCTCCATACATCTATGATATATCGCAAAACCTAAATAATGTTACAAAGTCTGAATTATATACAGTAGACTGTTGGTTGTGACAATAACTTTAGAATTTACGTTGCGTTTATTTTTGAATTTGTTATTCTATTAACTAAGCCGTTCCACCCGATTAGATTTTATTACATACTTCGAGAAGGTATTTGTTGAGTAATAAAACCGTCTAGTAGTTTATCGAGGGCTGGCCGTCCTTACCGCACGGTACAAATATTATCACCACTAGAAGCAAAAAAATTGTACCGTGCGGTAAGGACGGCCAGCCCTCGATAAACTACTAGAAGGTTTTATTACTCAACAAATACCTTCTCGAAGTATGTAATAAAATCTAATCGGGTGGCCGTTCAGAGCGACATCTTTTCTTTTTCTTCTGAGAACTATATCGCGACGCCGGCAAGAAAAAATGTACAGCAATTGCCCCAACATTAATCGAAATAACAAATCAGATCTACCTAATTCGATAATTTTACCATAAATTATAGAACTTTAGTACTTTTAATGACGTTTTCATTGTATATTTCAGTTCCTTTACAACTAATATTGGGTTGGTGACGATCACTGTTATAGCAGTGGTATTTATTTGTTTTTGTTCATGTTTTTTCACCAGTAAAAAAAGAGAAGCTCGACGTCGGATGCTTACATACCCACTCAACCCTACTATTATAGAGTCAGTCCATGGTAGAAGTGAGTTTTTTTTTTATCCAAATTACAATTCATTGTAATACAGAAACAGATATTTGGTTCTTTCTGATAAACGGAAAGCTGCAGTTGCCCAGCCTATAGGGGAACAAAGAAACTCCGAAAACATCTTTACCTCAACCTGTTGTCAGTTTGAATGTAGCCCCACGTGTACACGAATACGGAAGACGCTTATATTTTTGTAGACCTATAAGCATATATTGATGTAAAGATTGCCTGATTCACACTTTTGTAGATACATTGTATTTCTGATATTATGTTATTTAGTCCAAAAACTAAACCGAAATAAATTGTATCTTATACAAAACGGATCTGATGATATGTCACCAAAAATAAGAGACGGTTATATTGTTTTAGAATTAATATTACATATCTGGTGGATCATTATTTCAACCACAACTTGCCACAGAATGTTTTTTTTACGCTGATATTGACCGTGTGTATCTCAGCGATAAAGTGCAAAACTCCCTGTTGTCTGATTCATCAAACATCGAAATGCCCTTGTGCTTTGCATATTCTCTCATAGCACAGAAGGAAACGCGATTGACGATATTAGGAACATTTAATAACACTATTAGAATTCCAATGGGACGAAAGCTATAGGTTTACATTATTCATTTTGTCAATTTATGAATGATACCATTCTCTATGTTCATTTCAATTTTCATTTTGGAATACATTCAGGTCATATAGAGCTTTTGAAAAAAATGGTTTATACTGCTTAAGTATTGCAGTTTCATTTGGTTAATATACAAGGTGGCTGTATACTTCCCTGATAATTTATTGTGTATTTCTTCCTAAATTTCAGCTCCACAAAATCTGTCCCTTAATATTGAAGAACGGAGTCCTGGCGAGGCACCTCCGCCATATACTATTAGCAACTCATATTTTCTTCCAACACAGCTGCCACCACCTTACACTTCACCAACACCATCAGAACCACCACCCCCATATGATCCCAAATGGGCAAGAGTAAAGGCAGATAAATCTGATGAAAGTATCGAAGAAAATGCAAATAGCACTCCACAACGACCTCAAACACCGTGAATATCCTTTTCCCAACCATCGCCATCAAGCCTGCGATATATTTATTGTTGAAAACTTTATGTGTTTTAATTGTTTAATATGTGCGTGTCTGTGAATATAAAACAGAATCATGTAAAAAGATGACCAGAATCAAGTGTTGTGCTTCGACTTTGGTTAAGCAATAATTACTGACTGTGTTCTGCAAGTCACCAATGGCACTTTTGATTATGTTTATTTTCTTTTATTTGCTATGTCATTATATATTAAGTGTATTAAAATTGGTGTAAGGTGAGAGTTTAAAAAAAAACAGAATTAAATGTTGTCCTTCACATATTGTACAGATACCTGTTATTTTTGCTCAGTTGGTTTAATATACAGTATTAACAATGTTCGGGCATTTTCTAACTCAGCAATATTATTTGCTGTTCTGACAATGGAAGAACTTTGTGAATTGTTTCTTGGACTAGGATTAGATTTAATTAAGATTTCTACATGTTCAAATGTTTGAAAATCCCAGTGTCCCCATGGCTTCTAGCATAGGAAATGATATGAAATGTGGTTTAACGTCCTACTTTTAGAACCGACTGGGCTAATTAAGACGGGCATGCGACATTCCAACTGCCAACGGATCTCTTACGGGTACGCCAATACATGGGACCTTGGGTGCTCGGCTATACGTTGTCCCTTGCCAGGCCCCCTGTCCTTCACCAATAACTAGGGGGACTCACGCCGGAAAATCCCGATGAACTTTCTCGGCCAATACAGGGATCGAAAATGCGACGTCCGTGTTAGAGAGTCAACGTCCCACCCACTGAGCCACCGTGGCTCCTATATGAAATGAGATAAAATGGAGTTTAATGTCTTACTTTTTTGCACCAACTGGGATAATCTCATGTAAGACAAATGAGAATTGGTGGTTAATGGAATCGTCCCAGATAAAATATCATAAATGTGAAGAAACAGTTTAATTTAGTTTCAAATTAAAATATTATAGTGTTTCGAAAATATGGTCTAGACATTTTTAAACATACATTATGCAAGAGCAGGTCTGTCTTTAGGCCTGAAATGTTATCTAATTTATTAATTAGACATTAATTAAACTATCCAGAACATACTCAACTATCGATGGCATCGCTAGCCTGCGATCTTTAGTGGGTTATGAGCCGATTTACTGCATAACTTTCCTTCACGATTTAATGATTAAATGGATGATCGCGACTATGCTGTTTATCGTACTGACTTTAGTAATGATGATTGAGGCTAGGCGGAATTTTCAATCGCTTAATTCCCGGTTCATAGTGGATCAATTTGAATGAAATTTTCAGCAAATTGCCTTTACATTATCTAGTTTTTAACTATTATAGTGAGAACTGCCAACTCGTTATCTAATCTCCCATAATGTATCTTTAATAAGGAAATAGATTGGTTTTATTCGCTAAAATATACCAAAGACTGATCCTTTAAATACCAAGAAGTGTTCTGTAAGGAGTAATGATACACCTCCTTGTAGGCATATATAGCTAATATAACAATGACTAATTGTTACGACGACTGAATAAGTATAAGTCATAACGGTTATAACCCCCAATATCATTTTTAATTGTGATCGGTATTTACAATAGTGACGTACTATTTACAATTAACAGTAGAACCATTCATTCCGTGCACTCGTTTAATCTTAAACACCCATTACCGTAAATTTCATATCTTTAGTTTAAGTCCGCATATTCAATTAACTCAAAAATAAAGCTAATGGCTCTGCCTTGTTGTGTTGTTGAGGAGTTTAAAGGGACAACTAACCAATGTCTTTTCACCTGTATACTTTTGATTATTACAATCTAGTACACCAATGAATGAATAAAACATTATAAATATAAGTTCAGAATTATCATTATTTTTTTTTAATTTATACAAATAAAAATGGCGACGAGGAATCTGTAGACATGTAAACTTAAAACACCCAAATCATCAATTTGGACGAATATGTATAAATGAACATGGTCTCGACTGCTCATTGAGTTTCAATTTTGACGTATTATCCCTTTAAAGAACAGTCATATACAAAGAAATAACGGTATATTCTTTACAATGTTTGTACATACATACATTATTCGCGTTAGTGTGTAAAATGTATACAAACCGCATAGACGAGTATAAGTGACAAATTGTTATTATTAGAAAGTAATTCAAGGTAACATTTCGGTGTGTTTTGTGTTAAACTGACTTAAAACACTTAATAATTTTCAAATGAAAACATATCTGACTGGATAATGGTCGTAAACAAACATTTGGGATGTGTATTCTTCTTGCTCCTTCTTCGAGGTAAGTTTAAGGAAAATTGTATGTCTATTCTACACATTCCTTTGCATTCAATATCAAATACGGAATATAAACCGTTCCAAAACGAAAAAAGAATTGAAAGACTACTGATTTCAATTATGGACGGACAATCTCCACAGTCTCAAATTAAGAATATTTCTACTATGTTTTCGTGCGTGGCAACATTATGATTATTATCGGGTGCATCATACCATAAACACACCCTATATAATCAAAATGACGTTGCTGAAGTTTATTAGCGCTTTTTAGTGTGTATAAACCTAGTTTTTTTATTTTCATGTGATGAATGTTCTTATTTGTTTTCATATTCCTTTTCACAGTAGAACTATGTTTCGGACAAAGTTTTTCTGGAAACCAGTGGAAGTAAGTAGTATAAAGTTCCGTCAAAAATAGGTAGTGTATATGTTGTTGATAACAAAATGGTAAACTTAAATTTTCCACTAATAACTAGAACGGATAAATGATAACAACATAAAAAAAACCCACCGTAATAACAAGCATCATCAAATACATTTATTCCCCTAATTTCAGCACACAACAGATACTTGGGGTAGTATTTGGTTGTATATCACTCATTGGTCTACTAGTTACACTGATATGCTGTTGTAAAAACTGTCATGATAAGAAGAAATTTGCTAGACAAGGTCCACATCCAGATGAAAGACATTATGATCAAGGCTATGATCAAAGACAAGATCGAGGACATTCTAATCAAAATCAAGGTAAATACAGTTAACAATATTTCGGCAGGTATAGCGCGGTAAATACAACCCAATTATAGTCCCGTAGAAGCAAATTAGCTCCCTAAATCAGTTTTCTATAGTTCAGATAGCAGAGTGAAATGACCGATTCATTAAAGGCTCAATACCACTCTTGTTGTAACTGAATAATATGTCCCAATCTTTATTCTGGTCAATAAATTGTACTATTTTAGAATATTTCAATTAATTGATGATACAAATTTCATCTTAACACACCTAATTAAAAAATTGTGAAAAATTCAACATAATTGTTTGAAACGTCTAACGTAAACCTTTTCAAATGAAACATCGATTTAAAAATAATTTCGGAACCCTCTGGACAGGTAAAATAGGATGTAATGGATAATTTACATAACAGGTAGGACACTTAAACATCTAGTACTTAGATAGAGATATTATTTATTTTCTGGAGCTTTCAAGCCAGCAAGAGTGTTATTGTCCCTTTAAAACAAAGAAACCTGACAATCTCCCGAATCACTACTTCCAGTCCCGCTACAAAAATATGGAGTGAGTGTTCAGTTGTAGCAGTTGAATGAAATCTAGTCGAAATTGAAATGAAATGAAATGGGGTTTAACGCCCTACTGTTCTGCTCCTAAACTGGGTAATGAAGATGGGCATACGCCATACAGTGTGCTATGAGGGAAATTTTGCCCGGGAAGCGGCGCTACGGCCTACTCTTATATCGAATTCCAACTACCAAGGGATCTTTTACGTGCACGCCAATGTATACACGGGACCTAGGTTTTTTTGGTCCCATCCGAACGACTAGACAGCTGTCTTTGTCAGGCCTTCCGTCCTGAATCTCTGACAAAGGAAAACCAAGCCGGAAAATCTGGATGAACTAGTCGAAATTGAAAACCAAGACAGCGTTTACGGCGTTTACTGTCAGAAAATGAAAATCGATTGTCGTCTATCCTTTACAATCAATACAAATTAATAAAGATACGAGGATAATTTTGGTGTTAAAAAGGTTTGGTAATCAGGGGGAATAACTTCGTTAGTTATTGGCGAAAATCTTATAGAATTCATTGAGGTCTCGAATGGAATGAGATTGGCATTAATGTCCAGATCAAAAATTATACGTTCTTTTAATTTTCAGCTTACAGAAACGAACCAAGCGAAAAAATGGGATATCTACAACAAGTAGATTACTATGGAGATCGATCCAGACCACCTCCATACAGCTATCATTCACAACCACCTCGCAGTGGACTCGGGTATTATTAATAAACGGTTCGTCGTTATTGCTTCCAAAAAGGGGTCTGGTTTTATTTAAAGGAGCTAGATCACTAATATTCTGGACCTAGAAATTGACACAAATGGGTTACAACGCATATAATAATGTAATATTAATGTATATAAACTGATTTATCACCCAATAATACATTCTACAGTAGCTATCGATTGTGTGATAAATTCCTTGGGAGTTATCGCTTTACATGAATTTGATTGGTCAATCAAAAAGGAACTACTTTTGTTATTTTCAAAGAACAGTTCATTTTTTTTATTAAAAGTAATTTCTTTCTTATTAAAAATGAACTATTTTTATTTAATTGGCCTTGATGGAAACACTGGGTCAATATAAAGGACTTTGCAATGGTTAATTCGCTGTCAAAAATGATGTATCACTACGCCGTAATGTAATCAGGTTCAGTAGCAAAGAATTATATTTATTTATTTATCTGTGCATGTAAGAAGGGTTTTTGTGATAAATAAAATCTCCTACTCGTCTTTTTTGATATCAAAAATATCAACACTCGTCGATAAGGTAAAAAAAAAAGCTCGACTTGTGTTGATATTTTTTGAGATTCTCTATTTACATTCAATCGTTTCTCGTTTTACTGTAATTTCTAATCAGTTATGTTCGGCGAAATACGTCAGAAGTCTCAGTTGAATGACAATATCTAGTGACTGGTTATTCCAACCTACACCGATAGTATTTATTACGCATGCTCTCCAGATAAGATTATGGCGTCACCGTTTGACATGACTTGTGGAATATGTCTAGCCTCTTTCTTCGAGTCCCTTGTTACAAATGGTGGCGAAACGCATTATCGTGTACCAATAGTAAAAAATGTTTATTTTGTCTTAAATAGTGGATATCAGAGGCCCATCTTTTCCCGGCAAGATCACAACATCAAATTGATAAATAATTCGTGTTTTCAATGTCGAGGACTTTAGATGGTATTGAGTTAGAGACTTAGCTACTTTAATATTATATACAGTATACAAAAACATTTGAGGATAAGTTATTCGGTCCAAATTATTTCTCAAAAAGGCATAAAAATCAAACTTCTTAGGACTATCTTTGGATCACTATATGAAATAACCTGAGACTTCAATTACATGAATGTCATGAAATCAACATTGACATGCTTACATCAACGTATTTTACACGATCACCAGATCTATATCAGACATTTTATCTTAAAGAAGCGACAGATTTTTTATTATTAATCTGGGAATAAACGTTGTAATTGAATTAAAAGTTGTTTAAGCACATGTTGATTAAATAAAATACACGTCATGTACTATTGTTGTTTCCTCGGAGGCCATAATAATATTATCCCATGATCACCATTCCCGGTGATGATCCCTTTATTTTTACCGGCTTTCCGTCACGTGTTGGAGACGATGTGGTTGCTATTTGAAGCATTATCTGGAGTTGGAGAAGCGCTGTGAGTGAGTAAGACGTAAGTTCGCTAACCAGGAGATCCCAGATTCGATCCCGGTGTTGACTGGGAAAATTCCTCGGATTTTTTTCGACGTGGTTTACCCCATGTCAGTGGTACCGGGCGCAAATGAAATCCGAAATACTTGGCAGTTAGAATTTGAATTTGGATTCGATCCCGGTGTTGACTGGGAAAGCTTCTCGGTTTTTTTCCGGTTTGTTTTCTCCTTGTCACTGGTACCGGACACAAGGGAAACACGAGTCCCCATAGTTACCGTGCACATTAAAGAGCGCTTGGCAGTTGGAATTCGAAATAAAAGTGGACCGTTGCACAGCTGTCCACGTAAATATTTAACTCATAGCGCATTGAATGGCATAAGTCCGTATTCATTAGTCCAATTGTTTTTTGTTTCGTTATCCGAGTTACTGTAAATTCAGATTATATTTGTAGTAGATGCAGATGCATGATATGATGATAAAAAATCGGGTAATTTCATTGTTGGTCAACAAAGCACCTTTATCTTAAAATATTATATTTTCAATAAATCTAAACTATTGCATACTTTTATTCAAGAACACTATATGGGGATTATCTTGGGTATAAAACATATTGTTGTAAAATCACATGGTGATTATTCTGAACACACATGTAGAAAAAAGATTTACATAATTGCAAAATTTTAGTCCGTAAAAAAGAGATTTAGATTGTTGCAAAATTTTATTTAGTAACAGTATGCATGGTGATTATCTCGAATATGGAATATAAACATTCAGTAACACATAGTATTAGTACAATCGCTAAGTAACGTTGAGCAAATAGTACATGCTTACATGTATTGTGTTTTAGAATAGCTGTGTGATGTTCCAGTACTGTATGGAGGTGGATAGGTTGGTTGTCCTGGATGATAGTACTGCGGCTGAACAGGTGGTGGGTTGTACTGGGGCGTTTGGGAAACGGCTGAAATATGTCAGAAACATGCCTTTTAAAAGCCCTCATATAATAATACTTACACGAGGTGCGAATATAAAACAAACATATCGATTCATAGATGTCGAGGTTTGGCTTTTGGATGTGAGATGCTAATTGTAGGCCGGTTGGGGAGATTCGGGAAATTCCGGAGTCCACAGTGGCCGCTTTATATAAATGAGTATTTAGGGGAATACTAACCCTATCCCTTTTTAGAAGACTGAACTTGGATCAAATTTACCTTTTATCCCAAAATACTCATTTATATATAGCGGTCATTGTGGACTCTCTAACCGGCCTACCATTAGCATCTCGCCTTTTGGATCTTGTCATCACGTTTATGCGGAGAACTAGTAACGTTTTGAATAAAAACACAAAGCGGCCAGAGGCTCAACATTGAAATAGTTTAACCTAATAGTGGAAACAACAGTTTTCTAGGCAACTGAGATTGGTAAAATTGTAAAATTTGTTAGAAATTAAATATAAGTAAAAAGTGAAATCCAAAAAACTTTGAATACTTTGTTGTGTTGTAGCTATAGTTACACTGGTACTTGGTGCAGAATTTTGGATCACTTCAACTCTGCTTGTCCTGAATCTGACTCGGTAGATGACAACACATATAACAGCTATCACAATTAGAGTTGTTATCACACCCCCTGCTGCTGCTGCTCCACCATTGCTGGAAACAAGAATGGCAAAGATTTTCATCTCACAAAATATATATATTTAAGTACAATTGATGGAAATAGTGCAAAGAGAGAGAGAGAGAGAAAGAGAGAGAGAGAGAGCGAGCGAGAGAGTGAAATGGGGTTTAACGTCCTCTCGACACACAAACTATGTCATTTCGGGACTAACACAGACCTGGAGAAAACCCACGAGGTAGGCCAGAAATAGTGCAAAGTAAGGCGACTCCGCAATTCAAGGGAAATAACCGCATGTACGACGATAGTGCTTGAAAAGTATTTGAATTTAGATTTTCGGCTAGATTGGGCTTAATATTCACCATTTAGAGGTGGGAGAATCAACGCTGGTTCTTTATGGTTAAAATATTTTTTTTAAAACAACACATAAAATACGTATAAAAGTGATATGTACTTGAATGTCTGTTTTTATATTCCAAAAACAAATTTCCTCTGAACCCTTTCATGGTTAGTAGAGATATATTCAGTAAAATTAGCGAATGTAACTCTACCCAAGAAATCAAGTTGTCTGTAAATCTCCACACCTAGATATATTTTTTTACACAAACTCACAAATGATAATATGTACTCGTTATGGTCTGACTGATTCTTAACCGACATACATAATGAAATATAACAATTAGCAGGTTCAGATATAATGTGAGGTCCGTTATAAGTATTCGTATCTGGCCTAAAACAATCCAACGGTGAGGCTGATGTTCCCCGAGAAATTCCCAAAGTTGATGTAATGAAATTATACACCAAGTTTCATCACTCTCACATAATTAGAATTAAAGTTATCGCGCCCCAATGCATCAATCAACCAATTAAATTGCTTGTCACTGCTTACTCTAAGCAGAAGATGCTCATCTTCGAAATCCATCAAGGTTTTCACTTAATAAACACCTACTCCAAATTTGAACATTCTAGCTCAATTAGTGTCCTAAAATGTTTGATGGGCGGCCAGACGGGTCCATTTTAATAGACTACTTCTTTTACTGTCTGTTCTATACATCAACGGAACAACCTAATTATAGAATATACGATGAAAGATCACAACTAACCTGCTGTCACAACATGGCGTTCTGTCATTGGACGTTCCACCACAACATCCGTTATCACAATATTTAGGGGTCCGTGTAAAGCCATAGGTATCATAGTCCTTGCAGTATTTACCACAGAAACTTACTGTAAAATAAAATAGCGCCATCTTTAAGTTTTGCTGGGTCTTTGATAGGCCTCTTTTGAATCTGTTACTTTGATTTAGTTTTCTAATTAAAAGTTAACTGATCAATAATTTGGGTACATTTTAGCGTATGTTGCAAACTAATTCAATTATATAATATTAGGATATGATGTGAACAATCTGGCTTTCTATGCATTGAATGATAAACACTTTATTTTTTAAACAAAACGGAATGAATATGCTGTATTGAATCGGGGTTAGTGCCAGTGTATATTACACGTGATTAGTAAAATTAGTAAAATTTCATCTAACGCAAAGCTGTCCACCAGGTAATTAAGTGACTTGAAAATCCAATATTCGATTGGTCCACGGCCTTCACTCACAATTATCAAGCCAAGTGGACTTTTGTATATTACGTAGTTCACCAATATGATTTTCGGAAAGGTCGATATGTAAGAAAATTAAGTCAGTCTCAAGGCCTATTAATAAGGAATTGGAAAAGTGTTCCAGAAATGTAGAAGGCTGCTCCATTTTTGTTTTGTCTGTTCATTTTCCTCCCTAAATTCTTTGAAATATAGGTTAAATTGTTTTACAAATGCTGCTGTCATGTACCGAACTGGGAATGGGCTTCTCACTGTTTGGGGATCCCGGAATTTCTGATTCTTTTTGTTTTGCTCGCATACACTTTTTGCAGTCTTGTGGCTTCGCGTAGCAACACAGCTGCTTTGGGTACTTAGTTCTTGGAAGTTTTCTTCTCGGGAACGGCAACAGTGATAGCAGATTTTAACCCTACCAAAATCTGAACATACTTAGCATGCAATACAGGCTGATCTGTAACCGGGAATGCTAGGTTTGTAAAAAGCGCAGGAAGGAGCTGTTTTGCTGGGAATAGAAAAATATACATAAAAAAAGATAATTAATAAACAATATCCAATAATATTAGACTTACCTGAAATAAGACTGAATGTTACAAATAAAAAAGCTTTGGACAACATTCTGATGCTTCTTATTCGATCTAGCCTAGTCTATGAACTGATATCTTAAACACGTTTGTCTTTCCGAGAAACATAATATACATCCTTAGTAACAAAGGTAACCTGCATTCCCCAATGTGTGGTAATGGGATACAACGTTTGTTACGAATATATAACTTATATACATAGAACAAAGGGGATACATAGTATTACCAATACTATAAATCGCAAATTGTTTAAACCAATATATCGTATCGAAGTTATTGTCTTTTCTTCTTGGGACTGATAACCTATTAACTAGTGATTAAGCAATGTTGCCATACGTTACAAAAGGTAAGACCCACTCGTGGGTATCGTCAGACAATATAATTATAAATTATATTTTTAAAAAGATTTTTTAGTATGCATGAGAGCGTTTTGATTTGATAGACTATCCATAAACGACATATTTAATGCCCGCTACAGGTTGGACGGAACATGTCGAAATAGAGCCAATCACCGACTGTCTTTTGCTTAAAATTACATTGTGGACGAATATGAGAAGGACCCAACTAATTATATTTAACAGCGTACAATAATTCTCATACAGGGTTAAAAGTTGTAGTGTCTATCATGGTAACAAAGTTTAACAAGGTTTCTGGACGGGGTGGGGTTTAAACTCCCGATACAGAATGTTGTGGAACACTGAATAGCTATAGGGTTCGTCATCTCATGACCCAAATGCTTCAAACCAAATTGTATCCTCTATCACATTCACAAGATTTTCGGCACAGGAGGATAACTCAGGAACGGAAAGGTCATTGGGCGCTGAACAGTATAGATAGAGTTCAACCTCTCATGACCCCGAAGCTTCACACAGAATTTGAAATCAATCTATTAAAAACTGTAGCCTTTTTCACGATCACAAAGTTATCAGATGGGGTAAGTTCACAACGGCAGGTCGAATGCCGGCGAGGGGGGTGGGGGGTGATGGCCGAATGGTCAGCACGTGCGCGCTGTATCATAAGGCCTGTCATTGAGTCAACTGGCGTGGTTTCGAATCCTCAGATGTACGTGACAAGGAGTAGGGTCGCCTGTCCAACCTCGTGGGTTTTCTCCGGGTCCCCTGGTTTCCTCTACTAAAGACCCCTACGCGCAAGCAAATTATTGAAATAAAATTAAAACCATATGTTAGTCCCCAAATGACCTAGTTTGTGTCGTGTGGACGTTAAACCCCATTTCTCTCTCGCTCTCTCTCTCTCTCTCTCTCTCAATGCCGATAGGGTTAGTCCTCTAATGACACTGATACTTCAAGCCAAATTTGAAAAATAAATATTCTGTAAATTAATATGTAGCCTCTATCGCGTTCAAAAGTCAACACTGAAAAATGGGCGTATGAAAATGATCAGGATTTTCCAAATAAATTACAAAATATTAACTAAATGATCAAATACAATAAACGTTACTCCACAATTTAAATGTTTCTCAATGGCTCCATTATTTAATGAACAGTTGTCATAAGGCTGACCATTGCAATTCTCCGCAAGAAAATAAATATAGAATATGACATTCATATTTACCACTCGAGAGAGAGAGAGAAAGAGAGAGAGAGAGAGAGATGGGGTTTAACGTCCACTCGACACAAACTAGGTCATTTGGGGACTAACATATGGTTCAATTTTATTTCAATCATTCGCTTGCGCGTAGGGGTCTTTAGCAATGGGAGGAAACCGGAGGACCCGGAGAAAACCCACAAGGATGGCCAGGCGACCCTACTCCTTGTTACGTACAACCGGGGAATCGAAACCCCGCCAGTTGAATCAATGACAGACCGTATGATACAGCGCGCGCATGCTAACCATTCAGTCATCCAACACCCCTTCCCAATGTAGACATTAATAACATGATATCCAGATTAAATTATTATACACCCATAAAATATTTTCAAATAAAGAAATGTTACAAAATCTGTAAAAATTATAAACGTTGGCACTCCACGATTTAAATGTCGTAAATAGAAACAGGGATTAGATTAATACACATCAATAAAATAATTCCAAATAAAAAACAAAGAAACTCAATTTTACAAATCTAGAAAAAGAAAATATCAAATATTATTATAATAAACGTTGGTACTCCACAATTTATTGGAGCTTAAACTGTAACTGAAAACACATGATTATAATATTCAGTCTTTAAGACAAAATGGACATATTAAAATCAGTAAATGACGATAAACATATCCCACAAGACATTGCGGAAGTAATGAAAAATTTAACGTAAATCATATATATATATACACTCATAAAATGCGCATTTAGTTCCACATTTTATATATTTCATTGTTCTAAAGAATGAAGCTATACATCCTTTAAATGTGATATACATAGACATTAAGAATAAGAATAGGATACAGAGACAAATCAACGTGGATAGTATCTGTTGATGTAACACTTTGTTTGGGAATATACATGTAGTTATCGTTCCAGATTAAAAAAAACAATAACTGTTTAAGGAATAACGTTGGAGAACTTTTTGTGGAGTTCCTCCTCGGACGGTCTTCGTGCAACTATTTTGCAACTAGGTGGTGTTGGTGTTATGAATTATAGCTTGAGGTGGATTATTCGGGTATAGTTCCGTTTGTGGAGGTGGATTATTCGGGTTCGGGTTTATTTCCAGGGGTTCTGTTTGTGGAGGTGGGTTATTTGGGGATGGTTCCGAGCTGTTATAAGGCACTACGTGGGTGTAAGGCGGGGGCTTGGTCTCCGGTACAGGATTAAGCTGTGGTGGTGGATAATAAGTTGGTTGTTGTGGTAGGTAAGCAGAGTTTGAGTAGGTATGTGGTTGAGCTGGCTGATTATACGATACTGATGGTAGCCGTTGTTGAACTGAAAGTAATTATCCATTCCTTAACACATGCATTCAATATTGACCCATTCAAATCAATATTCTTATTATCTTATCGTATCGTGAAAATATAGGCTCATGATATCAAAGATGCATTTTGTAAAAGTTAAGTCTGTTATATACATTCATATTAATACATGTTTTTCGATCCATTTTCAGGATCCAAAGAATAGACCTATGTATAGCTCAGAATTGGGCGTTAGACTCTCTCCATTGCATAAGCCCACTTTCAGTATAAGGATCAGCAATTTGCAATTTAAAGATACATTCCCGCGTACAAACTGGGTGATTAAATGGTATATATGGACTTAAAACATATTCAAACTAATTAATTTGTTATAATTTTGCTTCAAATCCTTCAAACATTGTAATTGCCAAGGAATGCCCTGCTATAAAAATTCGATCAAACCAGGTCATGTTTATGTCACGTGACTTACCTCTCTCGGAAGTCAGAGGAGAATTCATTGAATACATAAGAAGATGTTGTCTTTAATCGCTTACTATTTATTTCAAATATCGAATCCTAATTAAATTCTCGGATTATCCACTACCCGCGTCTTTTTCTGTCATTTTTATCTCAGAAAGTGTTTTACGTCTAACACTTCATAAAGTTTATCAACTTGTACATCAAGCGCTCAATGTTCGCGCGTGACCTTTGACATCACGCGTGCAGAAATTCCTAATCGTCGGGCTGTCGATTCGGGGAACTCTTACATTTTTGTCCTGTATACGCTCCATGGGTGTTTTTCGGGGAATCCAGTATTTTTCTAGTAAGATTGGGTATCTCTACTTTCCATATATGCCAAAATTGACATACTTTTATTGGAATTAACCACCTGATAAATACTTTTCTGGGAACCCATCTTTAAAAGGAAGGAATCTGAATTTCCCAATATGGAGTCGAATGAGGAATTGCCTATCTCAGTTTCAGTACTAATCGACGAACTGATTCAAGACATTCGCCTAATGAACATCTACACCAAGTTTGAACATTCCACCGCTGTAAAAATAGAAGTATTGTGTTACAAAGTCATATCGCTAAAAAGACTTAATCACGTTATTGATGCATATATACCAGATTGGTAAAAGATAAAATCCAAGAGCTATTGCAGATTTCGTCATAGGTCACGAAATGTAAATAGTGTTAAAGAATGTGATTTTTGACGAGGTTCTACTTTTAGACGCCGAAATCTTGTATCATAGCTTTGTTATGAATCTATGATAAGGACTGGAATTTAATCATTATTTTTGGTGGGGGTTTCTCGGAGTTTTCGCTGTTTGATCTACGTGCTAAATTTAGGGAGGTGGGACCTTTCTGAAATGATACATTAGTGAAACCAAAAATTGCAGTCGAGTTGAAGTCGAAGATTTTTAATAAGATTCGACATTCAAAAAAAAATTAATAGCGATTGTCGAGCGACTTCACTCTCTCCGGGAAATTGTAGGCTAGGCACTTGACTAGTACTGGTGGTGATGCTCTTATAGAAATAAGCCCAGCTCAGCGACACATACGTACGTGACGCGAAAATCTGCTAAAAGTCTCTAATATATACATCACACTCACCTGTTCTGGAAACAGTTGTTACATTAGTTGATGGGGCCAGTGCAACTACTTTTCCGGCGGTTCGTTGCTTAGGGTTGATAACACATACGCATATTAAACCGATAATTATTGCAATCAGTACCATACATCCAATAACAATACCAGCAATTGCATCACCACTGTAAACATGGAACATATTTCATATCTTAATTTAACACAAAAAGTCATTTTCCATGAAAGAATAAGTATTCTAGGAAATAAAATGAATTATCTCGGAGAAAATCCATTACATATTATTTTCCAATTAAATAAAACTATATTTTATTTAGTAATTCGTTGATATCTGGCTCCATTATTTAATGAACAGTTGTCATAAGACTGACCATTGCAATTCTCCGCAAGAAAATAAATATAGAATATGACATTCATATTTACCACTCGAGAGAGAGAGAGAGAGAGAGAGAGAGAAAGAGAGAGAGAGATGGGGTTTAACGTCCACTCGACACAAACTAGGTCATTTCGGGACTCACAAATGGTTTAATTTTATTTCAATAATTCGCTTGCGCGTAGGGGTCTTTAGCAGTGGGAGGAAACCGGAGGACCCAGAGAAAACCCACGAGGTTGGACAGGCGACCCTACTCCTTGTCACGTACACCCGGGGATTCGAAACCACGCCAGTTGACTCAATGG